TCAGCCCCTGTGCCTACGCCAACGTCTCCTGTTGCTTCCACGTCTTCTGCAGGCGACCATAGGTCGAGACCTCGGAGCAACGCGTCTTCTTCTAAGGCGTCATCTGCACGTAGCCGTTCCCCCTTGCCGTTTCGTTCACCATCCTCAGAGAGAGACTTTGCCCCAGACTACGAGGAAGACATGGGCTCTAATCACCTTGGTTTTGATCACGTGTTTGACTGGATTGCTGATCGTTTAGTAGCCTCAGTCCCTTCACCAGGACCTGATGTTGCAAAGTCTCTTACTATTTGGGACTCGCCTTCCTTAATGTTGCCAACACATGAGGCGGTCAGGGAGATTCTATCTACACTTGATGAAGATTTCGAAGGGATGTCTCTCTCAACCCAATTATTAAAGCGCCTAGAGTCCGGCGTGATGACTATCCTATTCATGGCTTGGACTTTGCCCATACAGTGACTAAGGTGGATGAGGAGATAAAACGTGTGACAGGCTCTTCCTCTGTCTCCTCCTATAAAGTTCAGGACACAAAGGTAGCTGCTTTGGACTTAGAACTTAAGCGTATGCTCCACCCTATATCGACATTGGTGTCAGCGACTGATGCCATTACTCAGGATCTTAAGGAATTAATTTCTGGACTGGATCATCTCACAACTATGATGCTATGGCAGGGCAAAGTGCTCACTGACCTGCGTGAGCACCTTCGGTCAGCGGTTGCCAGCGCGTGCGTCATTCGTCGGCAAGACTTCCTCTCCTTTTTTTAATGGGATTCGGAGTGTCAACGGAAATTATTCCACCAACCCTGGTCATCGTCGACACTGTTTAACAACACCATTCATGACATTTATCGGGAGGTGTGTGTATTTGCCAAAGGGGAGACTGCTTTGAAAGCTTTTCAAAAGAGACAACGTCCTTCCTCCATGCCATGAAACACCTACCAGCCTCGACGACCGTCTGTTCGGCGTGCCAGAAATCCAGCGCCGTCTCGTGGCAGGGGACGTGGTGCCAAGCCTAGATCAGACAGGGGAGGATATCAATGTCGCCGTGCTCCCGCCCAGGGCGATGGGCGTAGGGGCAAGTGAAATGAGGGACATGCACGACTGGACACTCCCACCTCCAGTCATCCCAGTTTATCCTACACCGGTTGGTGAGAGAATAGGGATCTGTTGGGAAAATTGGTCCATCCTAGAGGATCCATCGTTCACCGATATATTGAGGCAGGGGTTCGGCTCCCCCTCCTCTCCGATCCACCTCTGACGCTGTTCCCACTCCAGCACAATCACTGCCAGATTCAGCACGACCTCTTAGCAGAGAACATAGCGATTCTGTTGGAGAAAAGAACCGCCGAATTACTCCCGTATCCCGTCACAACACCAGGGTTTTATTCTCCAATATTCTTAGTGCCGAAGAAAGGGTCCACGAAAATGAGGATGATTCACAATCTGTCCTATTTCAACGAGATTTTCCTGGAACGTCCTCCGCACTTCCAAATGACGTCCATCGAATACTTCAAATCTATGGTATGCGTCAACGACTTCCTCATCAGCCTGGACCTGCAGGATGCATACCTCCATGTTCCAATACGTCCCAGCGACAGGAAGTACCTGCGCTTTCAGGGCTCGATTTAGTGCTTTGTTACTTGCATTGGTGCAACCCAATATTACAAAGTGCAACCTAGTTATTAGTCTAACTTGCACCAGGTGCAAGTAACTTTTTAGTGGGTAAACTTCTGAATAAAACATCTAAATAATTCAGTAGCATATTTCTGATATTACATATTGCAATAGAAACAGTGCAACTGGAGTATGACTGGTGCAACTAGGTTTTTATCTTAGGTTGCACCAGGTGCAAGTGGGTTAACATCTCTTAAATCGAGCCCTGGCTTTATTTTCAACAATGGACTGTCCTATTTTCAACAATGGACTGTCCTCCCATTTGGATCTTCATTTGGGTTCAAAGCGGCCCTGTGGTTTTTTTATGGCAGGGGACGTGTCTGCTTCTTATACAACAACAGGATTTAACCCTTCGGCTCTTGCCCCAACTAGGTTGGCTGGTCAACTTGGACAAATCGGAGCTTGTCCTGTCTCACACTCTGACATTCATCGGAGGCCATTTCCTCTGGACAGGTGGGACAAGATTCACTCTCTGATTCCACGTGCGCTCTCCGAACCTCTGTGCCTCTGAGAGTGGCAGGCACTCCTGGGATTGTTGACGTCGTGCAGGATCTTATAAGCAGAAGGCGTCTTCAACTTCGTCCTCTGCAGCGTTTTCTTCAACCATACATGCGTCGGGCAGACGTTCATCAACTGTTTTGTCTTCCACTTCAGTTACATCGCTATCTTCTTTGGTGGACTCGCCCATTGAACGTCTTAGGAGGAGTCTCTTTGACAGAGCGGCCTCCGGATTATTAACTGTTCGTGGACGCCTCCATGCAGGGTTGGGGCGCTCACTTACACAACCAGACAGCCGCCGGCCTTTGGTCGGGTCAACACCAAAGCTGGCATATAAATAAACAGTCTGGAGTTGGAGGCCGTGATCCTCGCTATTCATCACTGGGCGCATCGACTACGAGGAACTTGTCTTCTGGTGGCCACAGACAACACCACGGTGGTATGGTACATCCGGAAGCAAGGGTCGACACTCCCACAGTTTCTTCTCGATCAGGCTTTTCGGCTTCAATCTCCACATTCTGTTGAGAGTTCCGCATATTCTGGGGTGCCGCAATATGCTTTCAGACGCTCTCTTGAGACCCGACAGAGTTGTTCCCATGGAATGAATGGCACACAAGGAGGCCTTCACTCTCCTAAGTCACGCACTGGGTTCTCCAAACGTAGATCTGTTTGCCACCAGCCAAAACCATCAACTGCCGGTGTATGTGTCCCCAGTCCCAGATCCAGCAGCTTGGGCGGTGGATGCTCTCAGCCTAGGGGAGGGGCTTCACGCGTATGCGTTTCCGCCACCAGTTCTACTACCCAAAGTTCTCGCAAAAGTCAAGGAGACAACTTGCCTTCAACTGATTTTGGTTGCGCCTTGGTGGCCGGCCAGGAACTGGTTTCCTGTTCTAAAAAGTCTAGTGGTATCTAGGAGATCCCTTCCCTCTACCCACGTGGAGGAATGTTCTCGTGCACCCTCACAGCCGTCTCCCGCATCCTGCTCCAGATCGGTTCAATCTGCACGCATGGACCATTTGCAGAAAGCACTGAGTGCTAAGGGGTTTTCGGCCAGAGCAGCCAAAGCCATTTGCGGCGGCTCAGAACTTCTACTAGACACTTGTATGATGACAAGTGGCAGTTGTTTGAACGATTTTGTGTTACCAGAAAGCAGGATCCGCTGAAGGTGTCTCCTCAGTTCATAGCAGACTTCCTACTTTATCTCTGCACGTCCAGGCGTCTGAAGGGAGGCACCATTGCCATGTATTTGGCGGCAATTAGCTCAGTTTTAGTGGTTCCCACTGACAGAAGGATTATCAAAATCCCAGAATTACAGGCCATGCTTCGTTTGTTCAGACTTGAAGTTTCGTCCACCGGCATGGAATCTCAACACTGTTTTAGACCATCTCTGTGGTGCACCTTATGAACCTCTTGAGAACTCTTCCCTCGCTAATTTATCCAGTAAGACAGCTTTTCTTTTGTCTTTAGCGACTGCGGCTAGAATGAGTGAGGATCACGCCCTCGATGTGACTAGGGTCAAGTTTGAACGTCGTCATCAAGGTTCTGTTTATTGGGTCTGTGTTGGGATTTCATCGCTAAAAACCAACTTCCAGGTCAGCCTGATCGACAGTTTTCCATTCCGCCATTATCATCTATTGTTGGCACTGAAGAAGATGCTGAATTGCTTTTATGCCCCAATTCGTGCTTGCAATAATCTGAGGTGGCTGACGTCACCTTCCGGTGATGCATGCGCAGACGAGTAGCAGCCGAGACCAGGAAGTGATTGCAGTTCTACGTCTTTTAACATCGTCTGGCAACCCAGGCTTTTCGAGCCGTAAGCAATAAGTGCAGGAAGTAAGTAGTGCAGGATAAGTATACAAATATAAAAAATATTTAGATTTTCGGTAACTGACAGTTGTCTGTGGTCTGTGTTGGCCCAATTAAGATGGCTTATGTACGAAACATACCATTTTGACACTGATTTTAAGGGTCAGGTTTAGGGGGCAGCTTATCTATGGGGTTGGCTTAGCTATGGTAGTATATGGTACATCACTCTGTCCTTCCTTACCGATGGGTTATGTCATTTCCCATCGGTGATGGTATTTGGTGGTAGTTATTTCCAGCACTACATTGGCTTTACATCGTCCCCTCGATTCACTCGTATTTTTCCCTTTCACCATATTTTGTCGAGTCCCCATACTATACTCTTTTCTAAACTTCGGGTTGGAGGGTGGGATTGTTTTGAGACGCTTATTTAGCCAATCAACATATAGGCTTGACATTGCTAGTCCCTGCCCTGGGCCCGGCCCCTGCCTGATCGACATTCAAGGTGTGAAAGACAGAATGCCACTCCCAACGTACAATCTTTGGGAGTCTGTCTCATGCCTGTATGTACCCCAAGGAGGACTTCTCCTGAAAAAGAATTGAACTAACCTGTAGAGGTTATTGATTCTTTGAAGAAAGTCCTCCTTAGGGTACAGCCACCTGTCTCCCCACATTCTGCCTGATTACATTCAGCATGAAAAGTGAGGTGCGAGGTAGATGGCTAGAGTTACCTGCTCTTGGCTGTAGAGGCCCTGAGGGGCCCTGTAGGGGTGGTCGAACAAGACAAAAACATGTTTTTTGTTTTGTAAATAATTTTATGAAAATATAGTTACAACTGTCGTAGGTTTTTAAAATGGACATTTTAATGCTTATATGTACCCCAAGGAGGACTTTCTTCAAAGAATCAATAACCTCTACAGGTTTGTACGAATTTTGACTCCCCAACTTCTAGAGTGCAGATAAAACAATTATTTGGATGGAGCATGTATATATTCACATATTCCGAACATCACATATTTTGTTTTGCAGAGCTACCAATCCCTCATCATTCAAGTTGGAGTTGTATGCCAACAATCTCAGCACTCCAAATGCCTCCACTTTCCAGAAGCTGGGCATGTATGTATATCATACGTTTGTGTTTCTACAGTGGGAAAATCATAAGAGCCATGGTCACATTTAAGGGTGTCTGTGAGACTTCCGTGTTTGATCGAGAGACCCCTGAATCTGTAACTCCTAGAGTCTTGTTATGACACCGACCTTGGTCTTTCGTTCTTAATTATCAGCGACCCTATTCCATAATCCGGTTTTCTTTATTTTTATGTCAAAAGTGGATAATTCAAAATATTTGTGAAGCTTGATAGCAGCAGGCATTTCCATTTTTGTTATTGTGTCATCATTGGCATAAGAGAGTCATTATGTGCCGCTACAATTTAACATAATATCATGCATGGAGACTTCATAATTTACAAAACAAACAAAATTGTATGTTGTGTATTATGAACTACAGACATTGTCTGTTGTGTATTTCAGCCTTGACTACAAGGAGAATGTCACCATCATGATGAAGCCGGATGAAGACGTGAGTTTGGTTTAACCATTTACTTTGTTTATTAAAGGTGCTATGGGGATGCTGAATAGGTTTTAAATTTATGATCCATAAACTTTGCCAAAATGTTTTTTTATGTCTATGTGACGTACAAGGCTTTTGGCATGGACTGTATAGTATCATTCCTAGATGACTGTATGTGTAGGTGCCCACTGATGGCTTGATACTGAAGGGTTGGTACAACACCCTGACCCTGGCAGTGTATGGCAGCATGACCACAGTGGTGATGAAGCCGGACAGAGAGTCACCACCCCCTCCACCTCCACCACAGCCTGCACCCAGGCCAAAAACACAGGGTAAGTGAAGCATTAGCTAAAGACACCCATCCCTCCACCTCCACCACAGCCTGCACCGAAGCCAAAAACACAGGGTAAGTGAAGCATTAGCTAAAGACACCCATCCCTCCACCTCCACCACAGCCTGCACCCAGGCCAAAAACACAGGGTAAGTGAAGCATTAACTAAAGACACCCATCCCTCCACCTCCACCACAGCCTGCACCCAGGCCAAAAACACAGGGTAAGTGAAGCATTAGCTAAAGACACCCATCCCTCCACCTCCACCACAGCCTGCACCCAGGCCAAAAACACAGGGTAAGTGAAGCATTAGCTAAAGACACCCATCCCTCCACCTCCACCACAGCCTGCACCCAGGCCAAAACACAGGGTAAGTGAAGCATTAGCTAAAGACACCCATCCCTCCACCTCCACCACAGCCTGCACCCAGGCCAAAAACACAGGGTAAGTGAAGCATTAGCTAAAGACACCCATCCCTCCACCTCCACCACAGCCTGCACCCAGACCCAGAACATGGGTAAGTGAAGCAACAGAGAGGAAATACACCCCTCCACCCCAACACAAGCTGTACTAAGCCAAAATTACAGGGTAAATGAAGGCCCCACCCAATCTACTCCCACCATAAATGGCATTTCGGCCAACAACACTGATTAAGTGAAGCCAGAGAATGAAGCTTCATGCTTCATATGCAACATCCATGCATGTGTCATTTTTCCCCATTGATATAGATCTGTATCATGCAATTAACCGTTTGTGTGCCTGTCTCAGACCAATTTACATCCCAGGGTATTATTGCTGAAACTACAGTAACCATAATATGAGCTGTTCCTTCATTTACTGCCAGAAATGAAGGTTACATGAAAGAATTTGAAGGAATGAATGAGAAGTGAGATGTGAAAGTAAATGTTGAGGCCTCTCATGGTGGTTATATTTGCAGAGAGCCGTGCCTCCAGCACCCCTGACTCACACCAGGAAATAGAGGTGAGGCCCCCACCCAGACCAGCGCAACAGCATCCTCTGGATCTCCTGGAACAGGCTGTGCAACAGCAGCGCCAACAGCAGCAGCTCCAGCAGCAGCAACAACAACAACAACAACTTCAGCAGCAACAGCAGCAGCAACAGCAAATTGCTCCACCCCAGTCACAACCACCATTTCTACATGCCCCTCCAACTCAGGCTCCACCTCCTCAGCCTGTGCCTCCCCCTTCTGTCCCCCTTGTCCCCCCTCCACAACCTGTCCCCCCTCCAGACATCATGTATCGCTCAGTGCCCGGGGCATTTGATGCCCCACCTCAGCCCGTTCCACCTCCAGCTGTGCTAGAACCTGTGAGAGATTTCCCTGCTATTCCATCAATAGCTCCAGTTGAGCCGCCTCATGATCCAGAGCCACATGACCAAACTCCTAGAGAGTTCCGAGACTTCCCTCCTGAACCAAAGGAGCCGTACGACTCAAGGGAGGAAACCCGTTCTCGGGACTCGTACGACTGGGACTACCATAGGGACAGGGATAGGGACCGTGATAGAGACAGGGATGTTAAGCCTCGGAGAAACTCCAGAGATAGTGACAGCCGAGATTATTCTAGTTCAAGGGAGAGCTCCCGCGAGCCTAGAGACTACCGTGATAGGGATAGAGACAGAGATTATTATAAAGACAGAGATCGCGAAAGAGAGCGGGATAGGGAGAGAGAAAGAGAACGAGAAAGGGACAGAGAACGGGAAAGAGAGAGGGAGAAACAGAGGAGGGAGGAGAGGGAACAAGAGAAGGAAAGGGAACGCCGGGCATTTGAGGAAAAAGAGTCCAGACCCCGCAGTCCTCCACAACCTCCTATTCGAAGACGATCATTTGAGCGGTCAAGGTCAAGGTCACCTATTATGCGTGAAGTGCGCCCCCCAGAACCACCACCACCTCCAGAAGAAGAAACAGAGTTGGGTATGTCTACATACATTATTGTGCATTGCAGTTTAACAGCTCGCTAAAAATATGCACTAAGAATTGTTTGATTCCTGTGTTGTTGCAAGTTAGCTTCTGTTGCAGGTGAAATCCTTGATGAGGGCCAGGATGAGATCTATGACACTCTTACCCCAGAGCAGTCTCCACTTGATGCTCTGTTTTCTGATGGAGAACTACCGGTAGGTGTGAAGGATCTTGTGTTTCTTTTGAGAAAATATAGGCATCTTGTTCTGTAAAGTGTCAGAAGGATGGATGCAGTTTTGGGGGATAAGCCTGCATGTGTTGGTAATATTTTTACATTGAAAAGAGAGGTAAATGGTCTATGATCCTGTGATTCCATGATCCTGTCTCCAGTTGTATCATCATGATCCTGGAAGGATTTTCAGTAAGTTGTATATAAAGTTTGTAGCAAGCTCATCATTTTGATGATTTCTCGACATCAACGAAGACATGCCGAATTGTTGCGTTGTCGTCAATTGCTCCTAGGGGTCGGGCGATGGTGTCACCATGCACAGATTTCCACAGGACCCCGCAGTTCGTGCTAAATGGGTTATGTTTGTGAGTGCGAAGCGAAGCATTGTGGAAGCCTGAAACAATATCTTACTTGTGTTCAGATCACTTCATGGAAGTTAAAGAATCAAAACTACTTACTAGTTGTAGTAAAATATGTATATGATTGATGACCATTAAGATTTTCCATGACACAACTTGTAACATAATGATTTCTTCCTCGGCAGCGAGGTTGTGGTCGAAGTAACAATAATACTGTGAGTAGTATTATATTGACACCCACCTCGCTTCCACGAGAGAAATTGTTATGTTATAAGCGATGTCATGCAAAATCCTATTGGCCATCAATCAAATACATATTTTACTACCAGTAGAAAGTAGTTTTGATTTTGTAACTCGTGAAAACAAACCTAAATAGCATTTATCCTCAGACTGGCCATTTTTGAAAATCATAAAGTGACGGGCTAAAGTCTGTTAGAATTAATGAGATTATGGTTTCTTTTCATCAAGTTAGAAAATCAAAACTATTTTCTACTCGTAGTTAAATATGTATTTGAATCATGGCCAAAAGGATTTTGCATGACACAACTTGTAACATAACGATTTCTTCCACGGAAGCAAGGTGGGGGTCGAAGTGACAATACCGCGCGATACATTTCTTGCTACATTCACATAGTTAACGTCCACTCACCAGTATGTAGATACTAGTCAATGCATGTCTTTATATTTGGTCTTATAATCCTAATTAGTTTATTATCATTCTTGTATGCATTTTGAAACTAAATAAAAAGCAGACGATCTGCTGATACTTATAGTGAATTTATAACAGGACTGTAATATCTAGACATTTTATAGTTTGCCAATGTGAATCATAATTCGCAACACGCCCTAGTGTATGTTGTCTGTCTCATTAGTCATTACACATCACGGCGAAAACAATGATTCTGTTGAATGCTTCGACAAATGAATAAAAACAAAATGCAAATTTTAAAATTAAAACAGATTAAAGTTATAGGAACAATGTCAGTCTATTACCTTGTTCGAGGAATGTATCCATCAATATCTACAAAAAAGTGATATATCGTTTCAGGTATTTCACATTGGTGTATAGTCTCATTGGTCACCCAAGATAGCCTGGCAACTAATCGCATAATGTCCGCCATTCTTTAAAAAAAAATTTAGTTAGCCAATAGTGAGCAATCAATAAATGTATTGGCGGTTAATCCTTTGAAAGAAGGACATTGTTTTTACGCAGACACAGACACGACAGAGTGTATTCAGTATAGATTAGTAAATCTACATACATAAACACTACTTTTTTGACAAATCCGCTGTGCAAGATAAAAGTAATTAATCAATCAGCGTGTTATCGGTTAATCCTTTGATCGATGTTTATAATGTTGAGTGTTTGCTCCAGACACAAGAAATGCCAAATGGGAACCTTTGTCGGGTAATCTAAGTGTGTTACCGCTAATTATACCTGTTATAAATTCATTAACTGACCATCAAGTGAATGATGACAAATAACATGTGTAGGTTTATACCACCTAACACGGGTAAAAACAAGGGAGTATTAATTGCTGTATTGCATGCAATTTTAATTGCATATGACAACTTATGGGCCGACACTGTTTTGAGAATACGAACAGAACTTCATTGTTGCATAAGAAATACATATAAGCATTTGCTGTGTGCTAAAACTGTATGTACCTATTTACCTAAGTAAATTTTCAGATTCTTCTAGCAATGGCAAAGTAGGGTTGTTTAGTTTACGGATTCAAATACATCAAATGTCAATGTTTAATATCATACGTAATAGACGTCATATGTTTGCATGACATGATTAAATATCGAGGTTAAAAACACACAGAAATGGGATCAATTTGGATCAGTCATTATACCATCCAGGCATTAGAAAACCTGAAAAAGCCCACAATGCTTTGATACTTTATTACAATCAGACAAGAACTACCGGGCAGGGGATATTTTCAAATAACTGCATCTGATGGGCATCCACCCTTCTTAATGTCGGACTGTTTAGGTTGAAGACATTAACCGTAACCTTGATGAGCGAGGCTGATCATTGTCTGGCTTGAACAAATAAGACCTAGCGACACCAAGCGATTTTGACAGAATCGTCTATGAAAACAAGTTGTAACTGGGAAACTAGGCAAAGCAGGAGACAGTGGATTGTGAGAACATACCGCTTTCATTTTTCACAACAGTTGTCACGATTTCAGGTTTATACAAACCTGTAAACAAGATAATTTACCCCCCTGAAATGTACATGAATTCTGCATCGGCCCTCATACCTATTCCTCATATGACGTCACAGAGACGCGCCTCTCTGATTGGTTTAAATTTCGTTCGCGGGTGAGAATTGTGCACTGTTGTCAAAAAGGTCGATTTAAGTTAATTAAAGACCGAAGTGAGTAGTTTTAATGATGGGGTTTTATTTATAACGATGCCAATTAGTGATTTATGTATTTGTACCCCCCTAGAGTATATGTGATCTTTAAGATCAGCCATTGTGTATTGACACTCACTTCCACCTGTCAGGCCATGCTATTACTGAGACTCTGTTCTCAGTGCTGTTTAGCCCAACTCACTCGTTCAATCACGTCCCACCTTTACTTCCAGGAAGGAGAGGATGGAGGCTATGAGGACATCTCATCAGAGGACGACCTCATGGGAGAGGACGCAGACATCATTCCAGTGAGTTTTATGTCAAGATAATCCCAAACAAGGAATCTTTTATTTCACATGCAGTGAGTTAAGCTCTGTGAATGCAGCTTTGAAAATATAGATGACTCTTCACTGAAATACTGTTTGAAGGAATATAGTTGTTGTGTCATTGTGTCTTTGCAGGGCATGGAGATATATGAGCTCGGTGATGAATCGTGGACGTACCCAGGATCTACTTTCAATCCACTTCATACATTCATTTCTCCACTTGCAGTAAGTTGTGTTTGGTGTTTATTGAGAAACTGTCTTCTTTCAAACAGGAGAGATACAGTTGTCATAACATACAAATCATAAGGTTGGCATGCACAGGTGGCCCAGTTGTCTGGTGTAGCAGTCTTGCTGTACAGATTTCCATCACTGCCCCAAACTATGCTTGTGGGTTTGAATCCAGTTCTGCCCTAATTATGTTTCTAGGTTTGTTTGGGGCGGTGGGGAAGCTTAGTGGTTAAAGCGTACGCTTGTCACACTGGGTACAATATGTGAAGCCCACTTCTGGTGTTCCCCAACATATTGCTGGAATATAAAATAGGTGGCGTAAAGACCATACTCACTCACTCACTCTAGGTTTGTTGGCACCATACACCTGTTCGTAGGTTTTACTCTAAGTGGCAAATGTTTGAGAGATGCATGACATTGAGCATTCTTTCCTCATTAAACTGACATGCTGCAATATAGTTTGAATGTGGCTGCCTTGGGGTTTGATAAAACTTCCCACTTCATGTTAATGTAAAGAAGTTGTGGCATTGTAGAGGTGACGTGTATTTCATGGATAATGGGATCAATAAAGAGGAAGAGGCTGTCTTGCTGGAAGTTTCTAAGTTGCATTGAATGCATTGTCAGTATAATGTAATTTCTAAAAATTATGAGTTATTTTTTTCTCATAATGCAGGCTAAATATGTGTCTATGTAACAGACTTTCTGTGACCCGTCGTCGACTGCCTATGAGCTGGAGGTAACAGCGTTGGAACAGGCAGATGACAAGTCAGGGGAGATAACTGAGGAGGGGTCAGATGAGGGGCCGGAGGATGCTGTAAAACTTGCAAACATCGTGAAGCAGTTCACTGATGATGACAAGCATGATAAGTAAGATGGAGTTATCTGATGAGGCTAAATATGATCTGCCAGTGCTGCAGTTGGTAGACATTTGGCCACCTTTTGAACTGCCATAGATCCTTTTGTTTACAACAAGAGTAGGGTAACCCTTTACAAAACATTTGCCAGACATGTAATTTCAGAATCAAGAAAAAGATGTTACTCATAAGAAAAAGGTCTTCTATTTTTTAATAAATTTGCAAGAAATGGGTTTTTAACAGTTTATCAAGTAAATCATGAAAATTCAAGAGGTCACTTTCCTATCGCTGATGTTATATGTAAAGCTGTTAGCTGGTGCCTTGGTTCCAAGTACATAGAATGTATTGAGACCTCACTGACTTGATGATTAATTGCTGATAATTAATTACAGGAGTGTTTTTGTTAACTTGCATATCACACCCCTGTTGTTGGATTGTTGATATCAGCCTGTGCTTTGACATGACCAGATTCCATTATTGATGGTTAGTTACAGGAATGTCAGCAAATTAGCCTCTATTTCTTCTTCAGTGACTCTTGTTAATCAGATTATGTGATGCTGATTCTGTGTGTGTACTTCAGGTGGGTGGAAGCTTTAGAAACTGACACAACAGGACAGGTAAGTTAGTTAGCGCTATAAAACCAAAATTAGTCAGGACTTGAAACACAATGAAGCAGTCAAATGAGCAGGCTCATCACGCAAGATGTCTATCTATGATCATGTCTATTAGATATTTATATAATTTCATACTCCTTTGCCTTGTTAGTCTATGTTTGGAGGAGGTGGTATACCAGTAGTATACTCTATGCCATAGGTTCAGCCTATGTTTGGAGGAGGTGGTATACCAGTAGTATACTCTATGCCATAGGTTCTGCCTATGTTTGGAGGAGGTGGTATACCAGTAGTATACTCTATGCCATAGGTTCCGCCTGTGTTTGGAGGATGTGGTATACCAGTAGTATACTCTATGCCATAGGTTCAGCCTGTGTTTGGAGGAGGTGGTATACCAGTAGTATACTCTATGCCATAGGTTCCGCCTGTGTTTGGAGGATGTGGTATACCAGTAGTATACTCTATGCCATAGGTTCAGCCTGTGTTTGGAGGAGGTGGTATACCAGTAGTATACTCTATGCCATAGGTTCAGCCTGTGTTTGGAGGAGGTGGTATACCAGTAGTATACTCTATGCTATAGGTTCTGCCTGTGTTTGGAGGAGGTGGTATACCAGTAGTATACTCTATGCTATAGGTTCTGCCTGTGTTTGGAGGAGGTGGTATACCAGTAGTATACTCTATGCTATAGGTTCTGCCTGTGTTTGGAGGAGGTGGTATACCAGTAGTATACTCTATGCCATAGGTTCCGTTTATGTTTGGAGGAGGTGGTATACCAGTAGTATACTCTATGCCATAGGTTCAGCCTGTGTTTGGAGGAGGTGGTATACCAGTAGTATACTCTATGCCATAGGTTCCACCTATGTATGGAGGAGGTGGTATACCAGTAGTATACTCTATGCCATAGGTTCCACCTATGTATGGAGGAGGTGGTATACCAGTAGTATACTCTATGCCATAGGTTCCACCTATGTATGGAGGAGGTGGTATACCAGTAGTATACTCTATGCCATAGGTTCCAGTGTCATTTCCAGTTGTGAAGCCATTTCCTAGTTGGACATTGCTTGTAAATTGCTCCACATGTGTAAACTATACTTCTTCATTCCTGTAGCATTCAATCTCTTCTGTCCAGATGTGTTGAATACACTCATGATGTGGGCAATGGATGGCCTTGACCTTGAACAAGCCATGCAGCAACCGGAGTCCGCGTTTAAAGTGCGGCACCTGAAGATGGGGATACGTCTAGCTGGGAGTCTGTGCAGCCTCAGTCCGGACATGGCACTCAACATGCTGGTGAGTCATGCAGTGTTGTCTCACATCACTCAATAGTTATCGTGAACTACTTCAATCATCATCATCATCATCATCATCATCATACATGTACAATGTGTCTAGTGGTTTATCAATACATGAATACAGTATTGAAGTTGTGTGACTTGGTTTCACTTAAATACCATTTAAAGTGCCTTAAAACAATACTACACTCACTTGCTCACTCACTCGACCCGTGAAGATATGGGGTAGAATAGGTCTTCAGCAACCCATGCTTGCCACAAAAGGCGACTATGCTTGTCGTAAGAGGCGACAATTTCAGGATCGGGTGGTCAGGCTTGCTGACTTGGTTGACACATGTGATTGTATCCCAAATGCACAGTACAATACTCATGCTGTTGATCACTCGATTGTCTGGCCCAGACTCGATTATTTACAGACCGCCGCCATATAGCTGGAATATTGCTGAGTGCGGCGTAAAAATTAACTCACTCTCGCTCGCTCACACACTCACTCACTCACTCAACCTTTGTAACATGTTTTACAGAAGCGCGATGTCCAGCACAAGCTGCTTGACCTGTTCTTGTCCCCGTACATGGCATTCAGCGTGAAGCAGCAGATCGTAACAGCTCTAGACAAGACGCTGTGCTTCTCCAGCGGTCTGCTGTGGTTCCTTGGTAAACACCCCCAGCAGTCTGTGAAGAAGGAGGACGGCACGGAGGCAGTGTGCTGCTACAGGAGACTCATGGACATCATGCTCACCAAACAGGTAAACTTGGGGTCCTTGTTGTTTGTTTGGCACAATGGAGGAATGGGTAAAGTGGAGGAGTGGGTACTTTAGTGTGAAGTGTGTGTTGAGCAGCGTCTTTAGTACCCACAACTTTCTTTCTTTGCTGCTCAATACATGTGATCAGAGAATCAAGAGAGAGAAACCATGGTATTAATATAATTGTGTCCATATCAAGAAATGTTCACGTAACAGGTAGCTAGCCTTGGCTTCCCATGCTGTAGGTGGATGAGTGACTTCTCCAGCATGTATTGAACACCAGTATCTGAAAATACTCCCACTGCAAGGTGGCACATGGTGCTATAACTGAAATACTCCCTAATACGGCTGCAACACCGTGTTATAACTGAGATACTCCCTCATCAAGCTGCAACACCCTGTTATAACTGAGATACTGCCTCATCAAGCTGCAACACCGTGTTATAACTGAGATACTCCCTCATCAAGCTGCAACACCATGTTATAACTGAAATACTCCCTCATCAAGCTGCAACACTGTGTTATAACTGAAATACTCCCTCATCAAGCTGCAGCTCCGTGTTATAACTGAGATACTCCCTCATCAAGCTGCAACACAACACCGTGTTATAACTGAGATACTCCCTCATCAAGCTGCAACACCGTGTTATAACTGAGATACTCCCTCATCAAGCTGCAACACCGTGTTATAGCTGAGATACTCCCTCATCAAGCTGCAACACCGTGTTATAACTGAAATACTCCCTCATCAAGCTGCAACACTGTGTTATAACTGAGATACTCCCTCATCAAGCTGCAACACCGTGTTATAACTGAGATACTCCCTCATCAAGCTGCAACTCCATGTTATAACTGAGATACTCCCTCATCAAGCTGCAACACCGTGTTATAACTGAGATACTCCCTCATCAAGCTGCAACCCGTGTTATAACTGAGATACTCCCTCATCAAGCTGCAACACCGTGTTATAACTGAGATACTCCCTCATCAAGCTGCTACACCGTGTTATAACTGAGATACTCCCTCATCAAGCTGCAACACTGTGTTATAACTGAAATACTCCCTCATCAAGCTGCAACACCGTGTTACAGCTGAAATACTCCACCAAGCTGCAACACTGTGTTATAACTGAGATACTCCCTCATAAAGCTGCAACACGGTGTTATAACTGAGATACTCCCTCATCAAGCTGTAACACTGTGTTATAGCTGAGATACTCCCTCATCAAGCTGCAACACTGTGTTATAGCTGAGATACTCCCTCATCAAGCTGCAACACCGTGTTATAGCTGAGATACTCCCTCATCAAGCTGCAACACTGTGTTATAACTGAAATACTCCCTCATCAAGCTGCAACACCATGTTATAGCTGAGATACTCCCTCATCAAGCTGCAACACCATGTTATAGCTGAGATATTCCCTCATCAAGCTGCAACACCGTGTTATAACTGAAATACTCCCTCATGAAGCTGCAACACTGTTATAACTGAAATACTCCCTCATCAAGCTGCAACACCGTGTTATAACTGAAATACTCCCTCATCAAGCTGCAACACCGTGTTATAACTGAGATACTCCCTCATCAAGCTGCAACACCGTGTTATAGCTGAGATACTTCTTAAACAAGTTGTAACGGTGTCTTAACTGAAATACTCCCTCATCAAGCTGCAACACCGTGTTATAGCTGAAATACTCCCTCATCAAGCTGCAACACCGTGTTATAACTGAAATACTCCCTCATCAAGCTGCAACACTGTGTTATAACTGAAATACTCCCTCATCAAGCTGCAACACCGTGTTATAGCTGAGATACTTCTTAAACAAGTTGGAATGGTGTCATAACTGAAATACTCCCTCATCAAGCTGCAACACCGTGTTATAGCTGAAATACTCCCTCATCAAGCTGCAACACCGTGTTATAGCTGAGATACTTCTTAAACAAGTTGGAACGGTGTCATAACTGAAATACTCTCACACTGTGAAGCATCTGATCTATTCCAACCTGAAGCTGAAATGATGTCACATAAGTGGAATACTCTTACAGTGCATCTCAAGTCCATCTAACAGAAAGTAACAATGGTAACAGTAGTGCAACAATTCAAGCCTTGTGTTAGAATTTTAATCAAAGTGTGTACTGGTTGTAAAATGGTTTATTTTAATTATTTCAGTTGGCCAGGACAAGCATTGCATTGACTGCTCTGAGTCGGAAAATCCACACCTTTGACTTGTTCCAGAATCTGACCCACATTATAGACCAGTAAGTATCAGACACACCTCCCACATAATTAGGGGGTGCTCTTTCTCAGTGAGGGGCTTAATGACACAGTGACTGGACAAATGGTAGTACACATTCCCAGTTTGAATTTGAAATTTTCCAATTCTTCTGAAGTTATGCTCATGCTTGATTTTGACCAAGGGCCACCCATTTGAAATACTTGATAATCCCTGTGATGTTGTTAGGGTAGCAATATCTATGAAGCTGTGATGTGTTTTCAGCGTACTGGATACCCTACCCCCTCTGGAAGATGATGATATGAAGGGGGCAGAGGGAGAGGGGGAGCAGACGCCACCCCCCTGCATGGAGGAGGAGGACGTGGACAAGTTGGTGGCTGCCTTAAAGGAATTAACCAAGGTCTTCATGCATGCAGCTGACCTCATTGTGAGTATAGACAGGGCAAGGAAGGAGGCAACAATGAGGACTGGCGACAGTAGGGGAGGGTAGAGAACAGAAATGGCAGCAGCAGTATGAAGGACAGAATTAAGGTGGGGAGTGGGGGAGGGAAATTAAGGTTTGGGGGATTGTAAGGTGAGGGACAGCAGTGAGGATTGGGACCACAGTAGGGGAGGAGGAGAGATGGGAGGAGAAGGGTTGGGGACAGCAGGATGAAAGTGGGACCCAAGATTAGGGTTGGGGCAGTAAGGTGGGGAGGTGGGGGACAACAGTGAGGATTGGGACCCAGTAAAGGAGGGTAAGCAGCAGGATGAAGGGCAAGATTAGGGTTGGGGGACAGTAAGGGGAGGAACATCAGGTACAAAAAGAGGTAATGGGCAGCAGGTAGGCCTGCAACAGTAGGGATTGGGGCATCAAAAGTGAAGGGTAACAGTGCCCATGATGGAAGGGAAGTGGGACTGGGGAGGGACAACTTGGGCAACAAAGAAGTAGGCTAGGGGCAGCAATGTGGTTCCAGGGTTCTGAGGGAAAAGACAAGTGGATTAGGGATGACAGGAATGGGAAGGGTCAACAAGCTGGGTCAAGAGTAGGTATGGGGCAATAGATGGCACAACGGGGTCATATGGGTTTTACAAATTCTAAGACCCTTCCCTGAATTTTGTTCCAGGCTCAGCCACGTCGTGGGCTTCCTGGGACTCATGTGTTCTCCTCAGGAGAGCCTCCTGTAGATCCTCTGCCCAGCCTCTTCCATACAGCTTATGAGTGGTGAGTTGTCTTTCAAATAGCCAACCTCTATTAGTAATAGATTTCTGTTGTTGTCATCACTCACAGAGTAGGTTTTCAACAGGTGTTCTCGTCCCTGCACAACAGTAGTCAGGAAAAGTCAGTGTTTACCACTGTGTGCCCTTGTAAACAGTTTATAAACCAGAGGGCTAGATTTGGATGCCCTCAACATCTACCAGGTCAGTGTCAGACCTATCCACATCTGTTTACAGTATGTAGTGTGATATAGTAACTATTGTTCACTTTTTCTCTATGTAAGAGTCGGCAGTCAGCTTCCATGGTTCCTGTGGCATGTTAAGTCGTAGGCAGCAGTCAGCTTCCATGGTTCCTGTGGCATGTTAAGTTGTAGGCAGCAGTCAGCTTCCATGGTTCCTGTGGCATGTTAAGTTGTAGGCAGCAGTCCGCTTCCATGGTTCCTGTGGCATGTTAAGTTGTAGGCAGCAGTCAGCTTCCATGGTTCCTGTGGCATGTTAAGTTGTAGGCAGCAGTCCGCTTCCATGGTTCCTGTGGCATGTTAAGTTGTAGGCAGCAGTCAGCTTCCATGGTTCCTGTGGCATGTTAAGTTGTAGGCAGCAGTCCGCTTCCATGGTTCCTGTGGCATGTTAAGTCGTAGGCAGCAGTCCGCTTCCATGGTTCCTGTGGCATGTTAAAGTTGTAGGCAGCAGTCAGCTTCCATGGTTCCTGTGGCATGTTAAGTTGTAGGCAGCAGTCAGCTTCCATGGTTCCTGTGGCATGTTAAGTTACGTAGGCAGCAGTCCGCTTCCATGGTTCCTGTGGCATGTTAAGTCGTAGGCAGCAGTCCGCTTCCATGGTTCCTGTGGCATGTTAAGTCGTAGGCAGCAGTCGCTTCCATGGTTCCTGTGGCATGTTAAGTAAGTGTAGGCAGCAGTCCGCTTCCATGGTTCCTGTGGCATGTTAAGTTAAGTAGGCAGCAGTCCGCTTCCATGGTTCCTGTGGCATGTTAAGTAAGTAGGCAGCAGTCCAGCTTCCATGGTTCCTGTGGCATGTTAAGTCGTAGGCAGCAGTCAGCTTCCATGGTTCCTGTGGCATGTTAAGTTAAGTAGGCAGCAGTCCAGCTTCCATGGTTCCTGTGGCATGTTAAATTCGTAGGCAGCAGTCAGCTTCCATGGTTCCTGTGGCACGTTAAGTCGTAGGCAGCAGTCAGCTTCCATGGTTCCTGTGGCATGTTAAGTCGTAGGCAGCAGTCCGCTTCCATGGTTCCTGTGGCATGTTAAGTCGTAGGCAGCAGTCAGCTTCCATGGTTCCTGTGGCATGTTAAGTCGTAGGCAGCAGTCCGCTTCCATGGTTCCTGTGGCATGTTAAGTCGTAGGCAGCAGTTCAGCTTCCATGGTTCCTGTGGCATGTTAAGTCGTAGGCAGCAGTCAGCTTCCATGGTTCCTGTGGCACGTTAAGTCGTAGGCAGCAGTCCGCTTCCATGGTTCCTGTGGCATGTTAAGTCGTAGGCAGCAGTCAGCTTCCATGGTTCCTGTGGCATGTTAAGTTGTAGGCAGCAGGTGGCTTTGGTGTGACTACATGTGTATCTTTGGGTGAAATTCCCTCGACAGATTATTATGGCAGGTATTTAAGGATCATCCAGCTTAAATATGACTAAACTGAATACATGGGTGGCTGTATTTTAATTGCTCCTAATACTCAGAAGTAACACAGACCATGAAATATATTCATGGATAGTGTGTTTTGTATGAGATACTGCCTAAAAGGTATATCTCTGAACACAGTTGAAGTTATCCTAAGGAACAATATAAATTGCTGCTTCAAGTCCAAGATTATGAAAACAACAATCAATCATTCTGCTGTGTCTTTGTGGTGGAATGTTGTGAGTTACGTGTGTTTTAGTCGCCTGCTGGAGAGTATCTTCGTGTTGACGTCAACGCCAGCAACGTCGAGTCAGCCGAGCATCTTCACCGCGGTACAGAAGCTGCTGCTGCACCTCATCAAGACTCAGCAGGGCCTGCTGTTTCTCAGCTGGAAGCCGGACACAACCAACGGCATCATCAGGTCTCTCATTCAGATGACCGTGAGTTTCCCAGGAAGCTAAGATCTCCTTGATGCACTGTTCAACAAATCTTTTTCCATGGAGGGAACATAGTGTTTAAAATATTTGCCTGTCAAGCTCTCGGTCGATTTCCTACGTGGAAGGCTCCCGATGAAGCTCATATCTAGAGTTCCCGAACGTGAAATTCCTAAAATATTTCTAACAATGGTGTAAAACCATCCTCACTCATTCACACACTGCTTCTTCTTCAACTGATTTGACTTCTCATCATCACATGATGTGATACTAGGGACATTGGTGTAAAATATTAGTCTCACATACACATGAAAATAACCAGTGGGATTTTCTGTCAGTTGGACCTTCGAATCCCATGCTTGTCGGTTAGATGTTTGGTGGGCACAATAGTGGATCATTACTGACCCAGACAACCTTCAGCTGTCACTGATGGTGGAATCAGAGCCTATGTTCGGGGTGATATGCATGTTATATGTACTTCCGAATTGACACAGATTATGTCCCTGTGAGATTGTGTGACTGTCCCAGTGAGATTGTGTGACTGTCCCAGTGAGATTGTGTGACTGTCCCTGTGGGATTGTGTGACTGTCCCTGTGGGATTGTGTGACTGTCCCTGTGAGATTGTGTGACAGTCCCAGTGAGATTGTGTGACTGTCCCTGTGGGATTGTGTGACTGTCCCAGTGAGATTGTGTGACTGTCCCTGTGGGATTGTGTGACTGTCCCTGTGGGATTGTGTGACTGTCCCTGTGAGATTGTGTGACTGTCCCTGTGAGATTGTGTGACTGTCCCAGTGAGATTGTGTGACTGCCCCTGTGAGATTGTGTGACTGTCCCTGTGACTGTCCCTGTGAGATTGTGTGGCTGTGAGATTGTGTGGCTGTGAGATTGTGCGGCTGTGGGATTGTGTGACTGTGAGATTGGGTGGCTGTGGGATTGTGTGACTATGAGATTGTGTGGATGTGGGATTGTGTTGCTGTGAGATTGTGTGGCTGTGGGATTGTGTGGCTGTGGGATTGTGCGGCTGTGAGATTGTGTGACTGTGAGATTGTGTGACTGAGATTGTGTGGCTGTGGGATGATTGTGAGGCTGTGGGATTGTGTGACTGTGGGATGATTGTGAGGCTGTGGGATTGTGTGACTGTGGGATGATTGTGTGGCTGTGAGATTTTGTGACTGTGGGATTGTGTGGCTGTGGGATTGTGTGACTGTGAGATTGTGTGGCTGTGGGATAGTGTGACTGTGGGATGATTGTGTGGATGTGGGATTGTGTGACTGTGAGATTGTGTGACTGAGATTGTGTGGCTGTGGGATAGTGTGACTGGGATGATTGTGTGGATGTGGGATTGTGTGACTGAGATTGTGTGACTGAGATTGTGTGACTGTGAGATTGTGTGACTGTGAGATTTTGTGACTGTGGGATAGTGTGACTGTGGGATGATTGTGAAGCTGTGGGATTCTGTGAGTGTGAGATTGTGTGGCTGTGAGATTTTGTTACTGTGGGATTGTGTGGCTGTGAGTTTTTGTGACTGTTGGATTGTGTGGCTGTGGGATAGTTTGACTGTGAGACTGTGGATTGTGTGGCTGTGGGATTGTGTGACTGTGGGGATTGTGTGACTGTGGGATGATTGAGATTGTGGATGTGGGATTGTGTGACTGTGAGATTGTTGTGTGACTGTGTGATGTGATTGTGACTGTGAGATTCTGTGACTGTGAGATTGTGTGGCTGTGAGATTTTGTTACTGTGGGATTGTGTGAGACTGTGAGATTTGTTAGATTGTGTGGCTTTGTGACTGTGGGATGTGACTGTGATTGACTGTGGGATAGTGTGATTGATTGTGGATTTGGGATTGTGTTACTGTGGCATTCTGTGACTGTGAGATTGTGTGGCTGTGACTTTGAGATTGTGTGGCTGTGAGATTGTGTGGCTGTGAGATTGTGACTTTGAGATTGTGTGACTGTGACTGTGAGATTGTGTGACTATGACATTGTGTGGCTGTAAGATTGTGTGACTGTGAGATTGTGTGGTTGTGGGATTGTGTGACTGACTGTGAGATTGTGTGACTGTGACTGAGATTGTGTGACTGTGAGATTGTGACTTTGAGATTGTGTGACTTTGATTATGAGATTGTGTGACTGTGACTGTGACATTGTGGGATTGTGTCTTTGAGATTGTGTGGCTGTGGGATTGTGTAGCTGTGGGATTGTGTGACTGTGACTTTGAGATTGTGTGACTGTGATATTGTGGGATTGGGATTGTGTGACTGAGATTGTGTGACTGTGAGATTGTGTGGCTGTTACTTTGAGATTGTAGGAATGGGGGTTTGTGTGGCTGTGACTTTGAGATTGTGTGACTGTGAGATTGTGTGACTGTGACTTTGAGATTGTAGGAATGTGGGATTGTGTGACAGTGACTGTGGCTGTGACAGAGACCGTGTGACTGTGTCCCGCCATATAGTTCGAATATTGCTGAGTATGGCGTTAAACAACAAACCGAGACCGCGGCTGTGACTGTGTGGCTGAGACTGTGACTGAGACATGATGCTGATACTGATGATGGTTTTACCAGGAGGACAGCCCGGAGGAGGGTGTGGACGACATGCCGGCCCGCCAGCTGGGGTTGGAACTGGTGTACCACCTACAGACTCTCCAGTACGTCGACCATCTCCTGGAATACCACAACAAGCGTAAGTAGGGTTCTGGAATCTCAATAACTCTGGATAGAAAACAGCCCTAGCACTCTTATTGCTATTTTCACAAGGCGTCTTGGCTTGATCCGATTGGAAAACTGGCAGCTTGGCTGAATGTGTGTTATGTTAACCTGGTGGCATGTGATTTTGATCATTCAACCTGTTGCTTAGCAACTGATCACTGAACTATACTGAGTCAAAAAAGAAACTTCACAAAATGTAATTTGAATAATAATGAATAATTGTTCTCTGATGATACATCTATGTAACCGAAATGGGATCCCTATCTTTCGACTCTAGAAAAACGTTAGCAAAACCCACTCAAACCCATCCATTCGTCGTGCAAATGACGTTAGTGCCAAATCAGGTTTTGCACGTGCAGTCGATCACGTGATTTTCGCATCAAAGTTTTCTTCATATGCACGTGTTTGCATTGTCCTCAAGAATTGAAAAAAACACTTTTAAACCACAGTTCTAACGGTACTTGAAATGCCACGATTGTCAAATGTGCAACCTGAACGTGCCGTTGGCATGTTGCAAGCGGGAAGATCAGTTATTGACGTCTCAAGAGCAATGGGATGCAGCCGTCGTACTGTGTATGACTTGCGAGGTCGTCTACAACACAATGGCACCACTTCTGATCGCCCAAGGTCGGGTCGTCCACGTGTGACGTCACGAGCAGAAGACAAATCAAATCGTCCCCACGTCACCTATGTGACAGATTTCTGCCAGCAGCTACGAACCAGGGCTGAGATGTTTAGAGGTCGACTGTCCTCACAGACCATTCAAAATCGGTTGCGGGCTGCCAATCTCCATTCTCGACGTCCATATCGTGGGCCAATATTGACGCCGTTTCATCAACGTCAACGTCTGCTGTGGGCCCAACGTCACCTCCGATAGACCCAGAGGGACTGGAATCGAGTCGTCTTTATCGATGAATCCAGGTTTACCCTCAGATTCGCGAGACGGCAGGCATAGAGTCTGGAGACGACGTCGTGAACGGTATGCCCAATGTTGTGTACAGGAAGTCGACAGATTCGGGGGCGGAAATTTCCTTCAAAACGCTGGAATCAACGTCATGGACTGGCCATTGAGGTCCCCTGACCTTCATCCAATAGAGCACGTTTGGGATGCACTTGGGAGAAGGTTTCGTGGTCTTAGGAACCAACCTCAGAATTTGCAGGAACTTGACGCTGCCTTGCAAGAGCAATGGCACAGAATCCCCAACCACGTGTTCACAAGCATCAGGAAGTCAATGAGGAGACGGTGTTTGGCAGTGGTGAATGCGCGGGGCAGCCATACACGATATTGAACTGAGAAATTTCGCATTTTTATTCTTGTGACTTGACATTCTGTATACCCATGTTTTTGAACGGCGGTGTAGCCTAATGGAACTGATTATGGCACTGTCAGTGTATCGAGTACATCACACAGATCTCAGCAATGAAATAATAACAATTTAACCATCTTACCATCTCTTGTTCCTTTATAGTCCCCTGAAGAAAGATTGTGAAGTTTCTTTTTTGACTCAGTATAGTTGTATTCAGCAAAGTCTTGTCAAGTAAAGGAAATATTTTTCCTACATAGTTTGTTTGTGGAATGCCTTTGTTTGGAACACATAGGAGTAGCTGGGTTGGTTGGTTGTTTGTTGTTTAATGCCACACTCTGTAGTATTCCAACTATATGGCGGCGGTCTGTAAATAATCGAGTCTGGACCAGACAGAGTAGCTAGGAGTCATATTGTTCTGAATATGGTAGATTGTGTTGCTCGGTTTCAGATGGCAGTGGTCGACCTCTGGATGATCCCGAACCACTGGGTATCCTCCAGAACCTGTTCTCAATGACCTTCACCTCTGTGTCACGTGATGCCATACCTATATTCAGCACGATGGGTCGTGATGCAGTAGTGCATGTACTCAGTCAGGACAACAACCTCAGCGTCCTCCTGCCGTTCGTGGAAGAGTCAGGTGAGCCAGCAGCCTGTTTTGCTTGAGACAACTAAACCGTGCTAAGGGCAGTGAAACTCCAATGATGGTAATCTTCATTGACTTGCAGCATTTGAAGACTATAATTCCAAACATGTTCTTAATGCTTCAATTGTGCTACATATTTGGAAGAGAATAATGTAAACATAGCTAACAGCAGTTCTGAGACTAGTCTACCGAGGGTGTTACTAGTACTGGACTACTCTAGAAAAACTAGACTTACATAGATGCATCTTTTAAAATGTCCTCTTGTCACCTTTTTGGAAATGTTATATGTGGTCAAAGCTTTCAGGGAAATATTTTTTGTGGAAAGAGCTGTGGCATAAGCTGGAGCTCACCGTATCAAAGATTGTAGTTTGATTTTCATTTTGCTGTACCATGATATTCTTGAAGTGTTGCTGCAAATGCCATAAAAGTAGACTGACTTGCTCTATTCTGAGCTGCTAAACAGCATCATAATGCTGTTTTCTCTCACTATTTATGTACACACTGACACGCAGTAGTGAGTTTGCCTGAACTATAGTGTGTATGGTCCGTGTCCTACCCAGATGATGAAGATGGAAACCGTAGGTTGAAGAAGTCTGTGTGTGCTGGCTACACGACCCACCTGCTGTGTCTGGTCATCAAGCTGTCCAACAACGTGCTGATGCTGGAGAAGTTTGCCACTCGGATCCTGGCGGTCAGTGAACAAGGTAAGGCTGGATCCAACCTGTACAGGTTATGATGTGACGTATAACTCACATCTAACCCATCTGGGATTAGGTGCAACACTCTGAGAGTTTGAGTTCAAGTCCTGAAAGACGACTCAACCCTAAAAGTACAAGAAGTTGTTCTTAACGGAGAAAATGTAATCCCAAATATGACATGTTACATTGGACCATTTTCTAAAAGGCCTATTCATGTGTATTGATGACTGAAATACTGTTAAAACTCACTCACCCATGTACATTATCATACAAACTAGAGTCAGAAGGTTAGGGACTGTTCCTAATTTATGGCTTTGTGTATGTGTGGTGTGTGTGTGTGTGGGGGTTGTTGATGATTTTAAGGGGGTCATCCATTTTGTTCTGGGGAGGTAGGGGGTCATCCATTTTGTACACATGTTTCTAGGGGGAGTCAGCAATTTTGTACATAAAAATATTAAAAATTAAGCTTACAAAATATTGGAAGGGGGAAGGGGGTCATTGATTTTGTACATGACATGCAGGGGGAGTCACTTACTTTGTACATAAAATTTAGGGTGGGTCATTCATATTGTACATGCTTTTCCATAATAATCATCATCATCCCCCCTGGCCATAAATTATAAATGGTCCCTTAGTGAGTGTTGTAGGTTGGTAGAAATGCTGTGTTTTTCTGTAGATTTCAACAGTCGCCTGACGGAGCTGGAGGAGTGGGTGGCACCTTTGAAGAAAGTGCCGTGTGTGTCACGTGACAAGATGTCTGACCTGATAGGTCAGCTGAAGATGTATGCGGAGGATGTACACAAGCTCCCCCCTGGCCTCATCACCACTGTCCGTATCCTCCATTACCTGTCTGTCCCTCCAGAGAAGCTCTATACACAAGGTCTGTAGTCTGAGGGTGAATGTACTTCTGTTGGTTCAATGGAATTCCTAACCTACTATGTGATGAAATTAACAGAATATTGACCTTAAACTGATGCTGATGTGGAGGCAAAGGTAACCCAGTGAAGTTAGGTGCCACAATTTGTTGGCAGGAGTTGCCTCCCATGGTTGTGCCAGGATGTTATGATTGGCGGCAAGAAATCACAGATTTACCCGAGTCAGATTTTTACAGAGGTAGAAATCATCTTAAGCTACATTACTTTGTGTTACCCCAGACCAGACTATTGTCATGGCTGGAGGCAAGATCCAACAGAAAACATGTAATGAGTTGCACATGTGTGCAGTGGCACATACAGAATTATGCAAAAAATGATCAGCTCCTAAAATCCTGAGTTCATCACTATTTGTTTGGACGTTAGAGACTTATTTCCAGCACAAGAGGCTAGCAGCAACTTCAGATTTATCAAGTGTGTGCATGAGCACAAGCTAAATCACGATATTAACAGACAGCTGATACTGCCAAGACAAATCTCCTCAATCCCTCACTCACTGATTGTTGCAGATTCTCAGAGTGAGTTGAAGTACATGCACGCCCTGGTGGAGCTGTACAGCGAGGAGTGTTTCCCCATCTTCCTCAGCTTTCTCCAGGTACGTCACTTCATGCAGTCTGGAGGATGCTCTGTTTATATCAATTTAGGATTCAGGGATTGTTTGATTTTTTTACAGTGATTTGTTTATTGTAAAATTCCTGTTAAGTTTTTAGTTACATAAGAAAGTAGAATATAGCCTGGTCTATGAATTTCATATAAAAAAAATGCAACATTGATCAATAATGAAGTAAAAAAATGCCTTTACCATATGTACCATAATAAGCTCCTTAGAATATTGTCCCAGTTGTGTAGATTGATGCTCATGATGTCAATCACTGGATTGTCTGGTCCAGGACTGATTGTTTACAGACCTCAGTCATACAGCAGGAGTGCTGCTTTCAGCAACAAAGAAACAAACAAATTGGAAAAAGTTTAATATGATTACATTCATGCACAATTAGTTTTCAGAGATTGAGTTGCAGCAGACATATATAAACTGAAAAAGTTTTGTTGAGAAAACATTGACTGTCATGTACATTTTGGTGCTCTCAAGGGACCAGTGTAAACAATGCTTACAGATTGTCTACAAGTTGTTCAGGGTCATTTACTGAAGCAGGACACATTATACAGCGATTACAGTAGACAACATGACAAGCTAACCTCTGATCAGGACTAACAGACCACCATACTGTGTTTCTCATGATCACCCTACCTTCACACAGAAGCTGAGTGAGAGCCTGCTGCGACGCTGGCAGAAAGGTATCCGACTGAGCAATGATCAGATGTCTCGTTACCTCGCCATCACACAGCCGTCACTGTCCATAGTGAAGAGGTCCATTGCCTTCGTCATAGAGGGCCCGGGAAACAGAGGTGCGTCATCACTGGCGTCAAGTTTGATAACAGTGTAAAAATCAAAACATTGCTCTATGCAATAAATAAAGTTGTATGCTTCATTCTTGGGTCTCTAGTTCCTTATTACTGGGAGGGTAGGTATGTGGGCAAGGTGTTCACCCAGTTGGACTTTGTTGAGTCCCAATATAGATACAATAGATGAAGTCACCCACTATGATATTCCTTAATGTGGCACAAAATATGTTTTGTTCCATCTGATGCTTTTTCATTCTTCATTCATGAATACTTGTCAACCTGAGTTTTTATTTGTAATTTGTTCACCGAACAAGCCCTCAATGTTCCTTCCTGCTGTTCTCTCATGTATGTTGTCACTCATTATGTATGATGTGTTTTTGTGTTTGCAGTTCAAGGACTTGACAGCTCTCCCAGCCCTGTTTGAGCTCCATACAGTGTTGTGTTCAGTACCAATCAGTGTTATGCACAGTCAAGGAATTGCAAAGGTACAATCAAAGAGTCTCAATGTAAACTTGAAAGTAAAGGTTAACAACATCATGGTGGTATTCCATTGCTTAGACCATGAAGGGTTGAGATCTGTCTGCATTGCTTAGACCATGAAGGGGATGGGTCTGACAGCATTGCTTAGACCATGAAGGGTTGAGATCTGTCTGCATTGCTTAGACCATGAAGGGGATGGGTCTGTCTGTGTTGCTTAGACCATGAAGGGGATAAGTCTGACAGCATTGCTTAGACCATCTTGGGGATGGGTCTGACAGCTTTGCTTAGACCATGAAGGAGATGGGTCTGTCTGTGTTGCTTAGACCATGAAGGGGATAAGTCTGACAGCATTGCTTAGACCATCTTGGGGATGGGTGGGACAGCATTGCTTAGACCATGAAGGGGATGAGTCTGACAGCATTGCTTAGACCATCTTGGGGATGGGTCTGACAGCATTGCTTAGACCATCTTGGGGATGAGTATGACAGCATTGCTTAGACCATCTTGGGGATGGGTCTGACAGCTTTGCTTAGACCATCTAGGGATGGGTCTGACAGCATTGCTTAGACCAACTAGTTGATGGGTCTGACAGCTTTTCTTAGACCATGAAGGGGATGAGTCTGACAGCTTTGCTTAGACCATGAAGGGTTGAGATCTGTCTGCATTGCTTAGACCATGAAGGGGATTGGTCTGACAGCATTGCTTAGACCATGAAGGGTTGAGAACTGTCTGCAATGTTTAGACCATCTAGTGGATTGGTCTGACAGCTTTGCTTAGACCATGAAGGGGATGGGTCTGTCTGTGTTGCTTAGACCATGAAGGGGATAAGTCTGACAGCATTGCTTAGACCATCTTGGGGATGGGTCGGACAGCATTGCTTAGACCATCTTGGGGATGGGTCTGACAGCATTGCTTAGACCATCTTGGGGATGGGTTTGACACCTTTGCTTAGACTATCTTGGGGATGGGTCTGACAGCAGTGCTTAGACCAACTAGTTGATGGATCTGACAGCATTGCTTAGACCATGAAGGGGATGGACCTGACAGCAGTGCTTAGACCAACTAGTTGATGGATCTGACAGCATTGCTTAGACCATGAAGGGGATGGACCTGACAGCATTGCTTAGACCTTGAAGGGGATGAGTCTGACAGCTTTACTTAGACCATCTAGGGAATTGGTCTGACAGCATTGCTCAGACCATGAAGGGGATGGGTCTGCCTGTGTTGCTTAGACCTTGAAGGGGATAAGTCTGACAGCATTGCTTAGACCATCTTGGGGATGGGTATGACACCTTTGCTTAGACCATGAAGGGGATGGGTCTGTCTGTGTTGCTTAGACCATGAAGAGAATGGGTCTGACAGCTTTTCTTAGACCATCTAGTGATGGATCTGACAGCTTTGCTTAGACCAACAAGTTGATGGGTCTGACAGCTTTTCTTAGACCATGAAGTGGATGGATCTGACAGTTTTGCTTAGACCATCTTGGGGATGGGTCTGACAGCATTGCTTAGACCATGAAGGGGATGGGTCTGTTTACATAACTTAGACCTTGCAGGGGTCACGTCTGTCCAGTGCTTAGACTTTGAAGGGATGGGGTCTCTCCGCATTGCATAGGGTGCAGTTCAAGACTTCCATGTCAGTTATAAATACAAATACAAATACAGAATAAGGTCCTTTCCACTGAAATAAGTCATATCCAAAATCAAAAGTGCATATTGGTAATTAAAATCTTACCATTACTTTCAAGTGGAGGTACATGATTTTGAACTGATACCTCAGACTGGCAAATCAATATCTTTTGTGGTAGAAGTTTGTAGATACATGGAATTGAGGGTCACTAATACAATTCAGGTTTTGTGATTTTTTGTTTTGTTGGGAGTGCAAGTTAATGAATGATTTTTTAGAATCGGTTTCAAATTTACAGATCCAGAAGGATATAGTGGATGCAATCCTGGCCTATACCCAGCCAGCCCTCAACCAGGCAGCTGCCACAGAAGAAGGTTGGTCTTAATTGTCTCTTGAATGAATGGATCCTCTGACATGGGGTTTATGGGTTAGAATAGGTCCCCAGCAGCCTATGCTGGTTGTCAAAGGTGACGTGATGGATCAGGTGGTTGATGACATTGCAGATGCCTTGTCGTCATACCCTGTCATGGTGGATCATTGTTCACAGTTTCAATCACTGGATTGTCTGGTGCAGACTTGATTGTTTACAGGCCGAGTCATATAAACAACAAACAAACAAACACAAGTATTGTGCAATATGTGCCCTGTCCCACAAAGCAGGCTGAACTCTTCAACAACCATCATTCCTGTACTTTAACATAGACACACGAAAGTCCATCCTTTAGCTGAGACAGATTTATGGAACATACCTGTACATTGCCCACCAGCTGGTTGGGCTGAGACAGATTTATGGAACATACCTGTACATTGCCCACCAGCTGGTTGGGCTGAGACAGATTTATGGAACATACCTGTACATTGCCCACCAGCTGGTTGGGCTGAGACAGATTTATGGAACATACCTGTACATTGCCCACCAGCTGGTTGGGCTGAGACAGATTTATGGAACATACCTGTACATTGCCCACCAGCTGGTTGGGCTGAGACTGATTTATGGAACATACCTGTACATTGCCCACCATCTGGTTGGGCTGAGACTGATTTATGGAACATACCTGTACATTGCCCACCAGCTGGTTGGGCTGAGACAGATTTATGGAACATACCTGTACATTGCCCACCAGCTGGTTGGGCTGAGACAGATTTATGGAACATACCTGTACATTGCCCACCAGCTGGTTGGGCTGAGACAGATTTATGGAACATACCTGTAGATTGCCCACCATCTGGTTGGGCTGAGACAGATTTATGGAACATACCTGTACATTGCCCACCAGCTGGTTGGGCTGAGACGGATTTATGGAACATACCTGTACATTGCCCACCAGCTGGTTGGGCTGAGGCAGATTTATGGAACATACCTGTACATTGCCCACCAGCTGGTTGGGCTGAGACAGATTTATGGAACATACCTGTATATTGCCCTCCAGCTGGTTGGGCTGAGACAGATTTATGGAACATACCTGTACATTGCCCACCAGCTGGTTGGGCTGAGACAGATTTATGGAACATACCTGTACATTGCCCACCATCTGGTTGGGCTGAGACAGATTTATGGAACATACCTGTACATTGCCCACCAGCTGGTTGGGCTGAGACTGATTTATGGAACATACCTGTACATTGCCCATCAGTAGTTTAATTTGTGTCATTGAACGATGGGGCTTAGAACATTTCAGCAGTGGCTGTGTTATCAAATATTCCACTCATGAAATACAGAATCACCTTGAAGGCAGACAAAAATGCTTATTTGTATGATGGTAATGAGATAATTTGATGGGACTTTACTGTTCTACAATTTTGATTTCTTTGAATGATTCAATAAGCTGATCAATTCACAGAGTGCTAAGAGGTGGTGAGGAAGTTGAAGCAGGTTAATTTATGTTTCATTGGATACAAGCCTAGCTGACAGCATATGAATGGTTTGTTTTCCTCAGGTAAGATGCAGTTTGTTGCCTAAATGAGACACGAACACCGTACAATGATATTATTGAGGTTCACTGTTTTCTCCCATTTGCCATGCATGTATTGTGTTGTAGGACTAGCACAGAGTTTGTGGACTATGATGCTGACAGACCTTTTGAAGTATGCAAAGAAACTTCCCTACACATATCTCAGTGGGCTCATCATGATGTCAGAGTTACTTCCCCTGCCACTGCCTCTTCAGACAAAAGAGGTACCATTGCTGTACAATTCCTGTTGCACAATGCATTAATCATATATTCTTCAAATGTTTACCGCTGTTTACAACAGATTAAACTGCAAGACAATAGGTTCAAAGCTTTACACTCACACATGGCTACATATGTGTCATTATGTGAATTCATTTCCTTACACAAGTATCTTGACTTTGTTCCTGTTTTTTTTTTAATCAGCCATTGGATAGCACAGAAAAAAGTGAGGTTGTGATGACACGCAAGTTGTGGAGTGCCCACCTCCATCCCCTATCCTCTCTCATCAATGACCTCATCAAGGAGTGTTCAGGTGAGTCTCTCCTCTCTCATTTGTGACCTCATCAAGGAGTGTTGAGGTGAGTTTCTCCTCTTTCATTTGTGACCTCATCAAGGAGAGTTCAGGTGAGTCTCTCCTCTCTCATCGGTGACCTCATCAAGGAGTGTTCAGGTGAGTCTCTCCTCTCTCACTGGTGACCTCATCAAGGAGTGTTCAGGTGAGTCTTGCCTCTCTCACTGGTGACCTCATCAAGGAGTGTTCTGGTGAGTCTCTCCTCTCTCATTGGTGACCTCATCAAGGAGTGTTGAGGTGAGTTTCTCCTCTCTCATTTGTGACCTCATCAAGGTGTGTTCAGGTGAGTCTCTCCTCTCTCACTGGTGACCTCATCAAGGAGTGTTCAGGTGAGTCTCTCCTCTCTCACTGGTGACCTCATCAAGGAGTGTTCAGGTGAGTCTTGCCTCTCTCACTGGTGACCTCATCAAGGAGTGTTCTGGTGAGTCTCTCCTCTCTCATTGGTGACCTCATCAAGGAGTGTTGAGGTGAGTTTCTCCTCTCTCATTTGTGAGCTCATCAAGGTGTGTTCAGGTGAGTCTCTCCTCTCTCACTGGTGACCTCATCAAGGAGTGTTCAGGTGAGTCTCTCCTCTCTCATTGGTGACCTCATCAAGGAGTGTTGAGGTGAGTTTCTCCTCTCTCATTTGTGACCTCATCAAGATGTGTTCAGGTGAGTCTCTCCTCTCTCATTGGTGACCTCATCAAGGAGTGTTGAGGTGAGTTTCTCCTCTCTCATTTGTGACCTCATCAAGGTGTGCTCAGGTGAGTCTCTCCTCTCTCATTGGTGACCTCATCAAGGAGTGTTCAGGTGAGTCTCTCCTCTCTCACTGGTGACCTCATCAAGGAGTGTTCAGGTGAGTCTCTCCTCTCTCACTGGTGACCTCATCAAGGAGTGTTCAGGTGAGTCTCTCCTCTCTCACTGGTGACCTCATCAAGGAGTGTTCAGGTGAGTCTCTCCTCTCACACTGGTGACCTCATCAAGGTGTGTTCTGGTGAGTCTCTCCTCTCTCACTGGTGACCTCATCAAGGTGTGTTCAGGTGAGTCTCTCCTCTCTCATTGTAACCTCATCAAGGAGTGTTCAGGTGAGTCTCTCCTCTCTCACTGGTGACCTCATCAGTGAGTGTTCAGGTGAGTTTCTCCTCTCATTGGTGACCTCATCCTCATTAAAGAGTGTTCAGGTGAGTTTTCTCAAGCCCCTGTCTTGGCTGAACATCTCCCTGGTACCTAATGCTTGTCATTAGAGCAGACTTATGAGAATGAAAATGGTCACACTGTGCACCCTGGTTTGTGTGTGTCATCATGTACGACCAGTGTGAACCTTCCTGTGATTTACCAAATCATCAAACACAATGGTTAGTGTGTTTACCCTTTGTTCCTGTGCTACTAACGCTGACCTCTGTTGCAGGGTCCAGCTGCCAGCCTCTCCAGCAGATGTTGTGTCGTGTGTGTTGGCAGCTGGCCGACCTGGCCTCACCCTCCGCCACCATGATCACCAGGTAGGACCTGTACAATAATCTACATAGCAGATGTAGGAACCCTTCCTGCGAGGGTCTGTTTGTTTAAATTTGGTTTCAATCCCTGATTCATCTCCCCATCAGGGTCATACACACACTTGCTGGATTAATTTTGTAACCTACCACTACAACTGATTTCCTACTCCACTCTCCATCATATCATGCTGACTGTAAATACAGTAATCTCCACACCTTCTGATACACAGGTAGAGAATCTTCATCCCAATCCTTTCACAAGATAAGGCTTGGCTTGTTTTTCGAACTGTCCTGTAACTTTAGTCACTGTTACTCTTGGCTGATATACCATTCAAAATAGTGTTGGGCGGTTAAAGTGTGGAATATTTAAAAAAGCTGCACATAACTAAACACACTCACTCAAAATAGTGTAATGCTACTCACTCACTCACTCACTCACTGGGCTAGTACAAGCAGCCGCACATACACATACACACGCATACATGTCGTCATATGAGCGAAATATTCTCAAGGACGACGTTAAACCCAATTTCACCTCAGCTCACCACTCGTTCTGCTGTCAGGTGTCTGCTGGACATCATCATTGAGAACAGCAGGATTCGTCTGGATGGAGAGAGCGGGGAGGACAAGGAAGGAGAGAAGGAGCCGTTGGTGAAGGAGGACGTATATCCCTTCATCAGGGCGGGACAGGTCACGAAGTCCCTCAGCCTGTTAGGCTACCTCCTGTCTCAGCCCACCATCAAGATGGCCATGTTGCAGCTCATCAGGGGGAGGTAACTACTGTTTTCTGCATTCTGCAGTATTCCAGCTGTCTGACAGCAGCCAGTAAATGATAGGTCTGGACCAGACCATCCAGTCTTTGATATTTTGGACAAAGATCCATGCTTTATGAGGACCATACATTACCACCAAATATATTCGGTCATCACTTACAATCTGATTAATATCCTGGGGATCGGTTTTAACCTTTAAACACCAAGGGGACTAGAGGCATTAAGACAATGAGGTAACACAAGAGTTGTGGGAAAAGAGGGGACCAAAAGTACACTGCATTCTCAGCTCCTTGGGAAGTATGCATCGTCTTAGAGGTCAGAATGTTTGGCACTCGGATTACATTCTCATCTTACCCATGTACAGGGTATCCATGGATGTAGACAACGTCATGTAGATTCTAACACATGTGTCTTGTGTCCTAGCTGTGCCGAGGATGAGAAGTATACCAGTATTGTACCCTTCATGCTCAGCCTGCTGAACGAGGTCTCAGACCGACCCCATCACATACAGGCACAGGAGAATGTGGTGGTAAGTCTGTCCCCATTGTCTGTCCACTGTACCTTTGTGGGTGTGTGAGCTTACTGACTATATAGTGTGTGACTGATTCATTTACAGATTACCGTGATATAGCTGAAAATTGCACATTGACATAAAATGCTCACTTCACATTGATGAAAACAAACTGTCCCGTCACTTTCAAAATCCCATATCTTGGTATAAATGTGTGTTGTAGCCTTGTCAGACTTGTCATTCAAACCTTTTCAAAGACCTGGATTAAAATTTCCCACATGGGTAGAATGACCGATCATTGTTGTGCTATTTCATGAATAGTTGTACAAAACCATGCTCAATCACCAACATATAAGGTAATTCAGGGTGAGTGAGTGTACGTTCGCTTCAAGAGAATTGAAGGGATTCAAGTTTCCACTTGACCGTTCGGAAGAGAGGATGAGAAAGCAAATAAGCATGAGTCAGGATAAGTATAAAATATTCATTTTATCATAAAAATTACATATTTGTGTGTGGTATGACAATGTGTGTGTGGTATGACCATGTGTATGACAATGTATGACCATGTGTGTGTGGTATGACCATGTGTGTGTGGTATGACTGTGTGTGGTATGACAATGTGTGTGGTATGACAATGTGTGTGTGGTATGACTATGTGTGTGTGTGGCATGACAATGTGTGTGTGGCATGACAATGTGTGTGTGGTATGACAATGTGTGTGTTTCTTTGTTTCAGTCCATCCTGCAGAGTCTCTGTGACACAGAAATATCTCTCGTCTCCTCGGACACAGCTCTCACCGAACAGGTCTGCATTACTCTCACAGCGATCATTCTAGACTTGGGGTGGTGGGGTTACGGGTTGTGTTTCTTGTCACACCGACATCAAGGTTCCTTTCCTACACTGTAGAGTGAAGCCTGATCCAGGTCTCCCCAGGGCCATCCCCTCACTGATGTCACAGGCATATTGATGGAAGCTGAATATACTCCCTTGCTCCTTTATAGCAAACAACTGAGTCATATTGAGATTTAGATGGGTCATCAGTGACAAGGTAATCTCTGTCAGGTAATGACAGCTGAGTCAGTACTTGCCACTTGGAGTGTGTGACCCAGTCTTCTAGGGTGACTCAACTTCCAGGACACAGTTGATCCTGTCAGAGACATGTGGCCTTTCCAGATGACGAATTATGTCCCTAGGTTTGTAAGACTATGCTGATGGAATGTCCTTGGTGATAAATGTTGAAGACTGGCATCACTTCATGTGTTCCTCTACACGTGAAGATCCAGGTTAGAATCAGTCTTCAGTAACCTATGCTTGTCGTGAGAGGCGACAAACGGGATCAGGTGGGATCGGGATTGAGAAGGCCCTTTTCTAAATATTTGAGCTAGTCTCAGACCCAAGTTGTTTATAATCCTACTCTGTCCTTCAGAGTGAGTTATTGAGTTTAGTTTTAAGCCGCACTCAGCAATATTCCAGCTATATGGCGTCAGTCTGTAAATAATTGAGTCTGGACTAGACAATCCAGTGATCAACAGCATCAGCATCGATCTTTGCAATTGGGATACGATATATGTCAAACAAATCAATAAGCCTGACCTCTTCACAGGTCTAGTACTTCAGAAGGTAGTCCTTTGTCAGCATGCAGATGAGTGACTTAGCTGAGTGAAGCTTTTCTGATGGAGATATGCATCATCATGAGAACTGGACGTATTGTATACTGTGACACTTAGACTGATGTGTGTATTCCGTCTTGTAGGTAATCAGCAATTCACTGCCAGAGAAAGACATGCTAAATACTGTGATAACGGCTCTTCTCCACCACATGGGGAACCCGGACCACACGTATGCCTCCATCTTGCCCTGTGTCCGCACCCTCGTCATGCTCACAGACCACGACTATGGCTTCTACCATCTTGTCACGTATGTGTTGAGTTCATACTGTAGCAATTTAACAATATTAGGAGATGTTTGGGATGGAAAGTTTGGTTCAAGATTAGACATTCTCTGTAACTGAAAGGTTTTGCGTCAAAATACTAGACACCACAACTTCTAATATCTTATGTGAGACTGATCAATCAATTTGCAAGGTAACACTTAAGATATGCCTAGGAACACCTTATTCTTTCATTTTACCAGTTATTGTATATTCAAGTCTCTTTTATATTGTTAATCAGTGATGCTATGGCAGGTAAGTACAACATAATGAGATTATCGTATGTTCTTTAACTCTTTTTTGAAGTGACATATCACTAGATCTTTACCATTTTCATCTGGACATCAAGTGTTGGTGGATGTGATACTATGCCTTCTTTTCATGGGAACAAAATTGTTTGTAAGGGTGGTGACAAGTGAGCCAAACCTCACACCCAAAGATGCTATCTTACAATGGTTATCTCCCCTACAGATGTCTGGAGAAGAATACGACAGTGTTCAGCAGCCTCCTGTCTCGGGTGAACAACACCTTCAGTAAGGACAGCTCCGACTGCCTCTCCACTCTCTCAGTCAGCCTGGACTTCCTCCGACTCCTTGTGTCACTTGACCCACCAGAAGTGGAGGAGGCCATGGCACGCACCTACGTCATCAACAAGCAGCAGCTCAGGGCATTGTTGTCATGGACACCAGACCAGGATCACCCGCTCGACGATCTGGAGAAGCTCCTGGAGGTTTGTTCATCCCTATTTTGTGACTTCCATTGGATGCTGGATAGGAACAACTCTCATGGTCGATGTGTGTTACAGATGTTTGTCAAGGAGGTTCATGTCACCAAGGGTTCAGACACGTTGTTGTAGAGAGGGTCTGACTGTCATGTTGCTGGTGTGTTACAGGTGTTTGTCAAGGAGGTTCATGTCACCAAGGTTCAGACACGTTGTTGTAGAGAGGGTGTGACTGTCTTGTTGCTGGTGGTGTGTTACAGGTGTTTGTCAAGGAGGTTCATGTCACCAAGGGTTCAGACACGTTGTTGTAGAGAGGGTGTGACTGTCATGTTGCTGGTGTGTTACAGGTGTTTGTCAAGGAGGTTCATGTCACCAAGGGTTCAGACACGTTGTTGTAGAGAGGGTGTGACTGTCTTGTTGCTGGTGTTGTCAAGGTGTTTGTCAAGGAGGTTCATGTCACCAAGGGTTCAGACACGCTGTTGTAGAGAGGGTGTGACTGTCTTGTTGCTGGTGTGTTACAGGTGTTTGTCAAGGAGGTTCATGTCACCAAGGGTTCAGACACGCTGTTGTAGAGAGGGTGTGACTGTCTTGTTGCTGGTGTGTGTTACAGGTGTTTGTCAAGGTGGTTCATGTCACCAAGGGTTCAGACACAGCTGTTATAGAGAGGGTCTGACTGTCATGTTGCTGGTGTGTTACAGATGTTTGTCAGATGGTTCATGTCACCAAGGGTTTCGTTGTTGTAGAGAGGGTGTGACTGTCTTGTCTGGTGTGTTACAGGTGTTTGTCAAAGGGTTCATGTCACCAAGGGTTCGATCGTTGTTGTAGAGAGGGTCTGACTGTCTTGTGCTGGTGTGTTACAGGTGTTTGTCAAGGAGGTTCATGTCACCAAGGGTTCAGACACGTTGTTGTAGAGAGGGTTGTGACTGTCTTGTTGCTGGTGTGTTACAGGTGTTTGTCAAGGAGGTTCATGTCACCAAGGGTTCAGACACGCTGTTGTAGAGAGGGTAGAGAGGGTCTGACTGACTGTCTGGGTGTGTTACAGGTGTTTGTGTTGCTGGTGTGTTACAGGTGTTTGTCAAGGGTTTGTCAAGGAGTTCATGTCACCAAGGGTTCAGACACGTTGTTGTAGAGAGAGGGTCGTTGTTGTAGAGACTGTGTGTGTGCTGTCTTGTTGTTCATGTGTTGTCAGAGTCTTGTGTTTGTTCAAGGAGGTTCATGTCACCAAGGGTTCAGATACGTTGTTGTAGAGAGGGTCTGACTGTCTTGTTGCTGGTGTGTTACAGGTGTTTGTCAAGGTGGTTCATGTCACCAAGGGTTCAGAGAGGGTCTGACTGTCTTGTGCGTTGTTGTAGAGAGAGGGTCTGACTGTCATGTTGCTGGTGTATTACAGGTGTTTGTCAAGGTGGTTCATGTCACCAAGGGTTCAGATACGTTGTTGTAGAGAGGGTCTGACTGTCATGTTGCTGGTGTGTTACAGGTGTGTTTGTCAAGGAGGTTCATGTCACCAAGGGTTCAGATATCGCTGTTGTAGAGAGGGTCTGACGTTGTTGTAGAGAGGGGTGTGACCAAGGGTTCAGATGTTCTTGTGTTGCTGGTGTTTGTCAAGGAGGTTCATGTCACCAAGGGTTCAGACACGTTGTTGTAGAGAGGGTGTGACTGTCTTGTTGCTGGTGTGTTACAGGTGTTTGTCAAGGAGGTTCATGTCACCAAGGGTTCAGACACGCTGTTGTAGAGAGGGTGTGACTGTCATGTTGCTGGTGTGTTACAGGTGTTTGCCAAGGAGGAGGAGAGTCTGGAGAGCCTGCTTGAGAGCATCACATCCCTCACCAAGATGCTCCGAGACCCTGACATCACACCAGGAAAAGGTGAGTGTCCAGTGTATGTAGAGGCCTTATTATAAGTGTTGCTTATCTGATTTAAATTGTTTAGTGGCCATGTTTCATGTCTTGTAGCTACTGACTATCTTCCTACACATTGTGGTCTAACCCCAGTTTCTATCGTGGCCCACGACAGTGTTACATACTTTCATAGATCACGACTGGTCAAGGATTCTGCTCAAGAACTGGTCCTGAGTAACCTGTGCTTGTGGTACTAAGTCACTATATAGATCAGATACTCAGTCTCAGTGGTTACGTTGTGTCATCGTACCCCAGCAGACTCTCAATTGTTGTTGGGGCAGTGGGTAGCCTGGTGGTTAAAGAGTTCACTCGTCACGCTGAAGACCCGGGTACGAGTCCCCACATGGATACAATGTGTGAAGCCCATTTCCGGTGTCCTCGGACGGGATATTGCTGGAATATTGCTAAAAGCGGCATAAAACTGAACTCACTCACTCACTGACTTGTTCACTGAACTTTCAGTTTCCGGGTTTGATTATTGTGAGCCTGTCGACGTATGGCTGGAATATTGCTTTATCAAAACAGACAAAAGCTGGTTTGTGCCCCATAGAACACATAACACACTGGAGGAGAATATTTGACTTTGTACTAGTGTTCTTGTGAAGTATATATCTGAAAGGTGGATTTATATTTCCTTTTTACTTCAACACCCTGTAAAATCATGTTGACGCCTCACTCTTGAAGTACTACAGCCATAAATAATGCAGATATTTGAATGTCATTTAGGAGTGATATAAATAATGGAGAGAACATAACGGAGATATTTCATTGTTAATATGACATGTCCTACATTGAGATATATTCTAACAGATCTGACTGAACCTGAGCTGTCCCCGCCCGAGCCTCTCAGTGTGTTGTTCAACAAGCGAGCTGTGTTCACCGTCAGTGATGGTGATGATAAAAGACTGAGCGCCACCTACTGGCTGGCTAATCCAATCACAGAGGAACCAGACTCTGAGCCGGAACTGGTGCGCTGCAACTTGGAGGATCTGTGTTCAAAATATTTCCCGGAATTTGATCTGGAGCAGGAACTGAGAAAAGACTCTATGCCGTCTGCTGAAGATATTGTTAAACCCAGGAGGCTCAGGTGCTTGATTCACATCACGATATCGCAGCAAGTAGTGGAAACATGTGATATCGTCGCAAATAGTGGAGACGTGTAGTATCGCAGCAAATAGTTGAAACGTGTAGTATCGCAGCAAATAGTGGGTACGTGTAGTATCGCAGGAAATAGTGGAAACGTGTGGTATCGCAGCAAATAGTGGAAACGTGTAGTATCGCATCAAATAGTGGAAACGTGTAGTATTGCAGCAAATAGTGGAGACGTGTAGTATCGCAGCAAATAGTGGAAACGTGTAGTATCGCAGCAAATAGTGGAAACGTGTAGTATCTCAGGAAATAGTGGAAACGTGTAGTATCGCAGCAAATAGTGGAAACATGTAGTATCACAGGAAATAGTGGAAACGTGTAGTATCGCAGGAAATAGTGGAAACGTGTAGTATCGCAGCAAATAGTGGAAAAGTGTAGTATTGCAGCAAATAGTGGAAACGTGTGGTATCGCAGGAAATAGTGGAAACGTGTACTATCGCAGCAAATAGTGGAAATGTGTGGTATCGCAGGAAATAGTGGAAACGTGTGGTATCGCAGGAAATAGTGGAAACATGTAGTACCGCAGGAAATAGTGGAAGAGTGTGGTATCGCAGCAAATAGTGGAAACGTGTAGTATCGCAGCAAATAGTGGAAACGTGTAGTATCGCAGCAAATAATGGAAATGTGTGGTATCGCAGGAAATAGTGGAAACGTGTGGTATCGCGAGGAAATAGTGGAAAGTAGTGGAAATAGTGGAAGCGTGTAGTATCGCAGGTGGAAATAGTGGCAAAACGCGTGTGTAGTATCGCGAGCAAATAGTGGAAACGTGTAGTATCGCAGCAAATAGTGGAAACGTGAAGTACCGCAGGAAATAGTGGAAACGTGTGGTATCGCAGCAAATAGTGGAAACGTGTAGTATCGGAGCAAATAGTGGAAACGAGTAGTATCGCAGCAAATAGTGGAAATGTGTGGTATCGCAGGAAATAGTGGAAACGTGTGGTATCGCAGCAAATAGTGGAAACGTGTAGTATCGCAGCAAATAGTGGAAATGTGTGGTATCGCAGGAAATAGTGGAAACATGTGGTATCAGTGCAAATGATGGCAGAATGTAGTATTGATCAGTGATTAGTTGCGAGATTTGTCCTGCATTAATTATCTGTAAAAGGTGGCCTCACACATACAACGACTATGGCTTCTACCATGTCCTCATTCATTTTCCAAACTGCTCATTTGTATGGTATTAAAGTTGAGGACCACGAAATTGTTTCCTGTCCCTCAAGTTCACCTTTCATGCCATGAGAGATTTACGATATATATATATGGATTTATTCGGCGTTTGTTAACTTCTTCAGAGTAGTATATGTTTAAATGTGTGCCACAACCTCTCAGTCTGCTTTTACCCGTGAAGACCTTCACTCAGCTAAGTCACTCTTCTGCATGCTGACAATGGACAACCTTCTGAAGTACTAGACCTGTGAAGATCCGGGTTAGAACTGATCTTCAGTAACCCATGCTTGTCGTAAGAGGTGACTAACAGGATCGGGTGGTCAGGCTCGCTGACTTGGTTGACACATGTCATTCGTTCCCAATTGCGCAGATCGATGCTCATGCTGTTGATCACTGGATTGTCTGGTCCAGACTTGATTATTTACAGACAGCCTCCAAATGGCTGGAATATTGTTGAGTGCGGCGTAAAACAAAACTCACTCACTCAGTCTACTTTCCTGAAGGTTTCTTAGTTCAAAGAAATTAAATGTTGCTAAGTGAACAAATTTTAGCTGGGTGTAGCTGACCAAACACAGTTTGTCTCTGACTACAGGCTGGTCACTGAAGATTGATACAAACATGTGTCCTGTGTATTGCCCTCACCGTAAACATCTTCAGTCTTCGTCTTCAAACAACAGTCACCTCAATAACTACAACGGAAACTGTATGTAAGGTGTAGCTGTCTGCAGAGTGTTACTATTAGAGAAACATAATTCCAATACTCTTCACTATTCTGACAGAGACCGCCGTCGATCTCAAGAAGTGATCAATATCAACCACCGTGGCAGAAGAGGGAACAGACCTTTTGGTATGTAAATTTAATATGTTATCGCCGAAAAATATTGTTCAAATGTTTATTGATTCTTTTTTATACATTTTCTTTTCTACCTGTATGTTTCTTTCAGAAAAATATTTTGTAATGCTTTTGTTTAAGTTGCGCCGATGCGAGGAAGGGGCATAACTCATGGTATGATGGCCTCCAACCGATCCGACCCATTCCGGTCTCGACCTCCCAACACCAGTCGTCCTCCGTCCATGCATGTTGATGACTTCATCAAGATGGAAAAGAACCAGCGTCATCCTGACAACAACCCCCAGGGCCAGCACATCCACACTGGACAGCCACGCAGGAACGACAAGGTGGGACATGCCGCCATTGTGTCATGCTGTCATCATATGTATATATATATATAAATATATATAATACTCAAGTTAGGTTAAAGAACATCTGAAACTTTCATTTTACTACAGGGAATATGTCAGGGCAGAGAACTATGAGAACTATCTCCAGCACAACCAAGTCTTATACAAACTGTATTACTATTCTAATTGGAGTCAGTCTTGATTATGTGAAAATATTTGTTGCTGAAGGAACAAATGAGAGGTCGAGGCCGAGGCTTCGGGGATCGCGGAGGAGGTCGAGGATTCTCCAGCAGAGGGCGCTTCTTCACTCCACCTGGGAATTATGCGAGACGGGACCAGGCCCATGGAGGTAAATGAGTCATGTGCATTGTGTTTGTACTGGGCGTGGTGAAATTCACTGTGAAGAGTCGTGTCCCTTAGTTGTCCCAGCCCATTGATTGGTTACAACCGTTGGTTCAAGTCCCTGTTTGCTCTAATTGTGTTTCTGGGTTTGTTCATTACTCCATTTCTCCGAAACACCTATGACTTTCACACTTTGAGATTTTTTTCTACATGAAGCACACATACCATGGTATGTCTGATACCATTCAACATACTCACTCACTCCGTGTGACCCTGTGTGTTTTCATCTCCAGCTGGCGGTTCTCGTGGGGGCACCAGTTCTTACATGGGGAGACAGAAGTACAACTTTGCCAGTCCCCGGTCGTTCCAGAGAGGAGGGTAAGTGCATCATATATAGGATTCCACATATGTTACAGAGAAGGTAGTAATTGAACCTAGCAGTATCTGTACGGACAGTGTCTGCATACATATTGTATACTTTGTTATTACAGTAGCTGGAGGCATAGAACTATCTGTTTCAAAGTTTCACTGCAATTGGCCAAGGGTTTTCCTGAACTAGAAAGAACTCCTGATTTCTCATTGAGGTAACAACTGTTACTGAGATTTGTTCTAGTGATTAAGCTCATGTTTTCTCTTTCTGACTCTAACAGCCATGGTGACCGAGCCAGCCCCACTGACCGCCGGGGTGGGGGCAACAACAGTGGGGGGAGCCGGGACTCACGCTTCGCACCCCGTGGGGGACGAGGAGGAGGAGGCAGCCAGTGGCTCGGGAAGGGCAAGGATGATGGCAGGTAGAGGCACATTTCTTCATGTTTCATGACACACACTGATTTGACCCAGTTATCTGTGTCACAATGATTGACTGTACACCCACGGCAGTCCCAAAACCTAGAATCATGGCTGAGACTACAAGGGATAACAGTTAAAACAGCCTCCATCATGATGGCACAAAGATTGTCACATGAACATGGTGAGCACTTGTCCTCATCACAGACAAATACCGGTATTTCGTTCTGTTTCAGGTTTTCTGGCAGTTTCCGGGGGACGAAGAGATTTCAGTGGAGGCGGAAGACATTTTCGGTCATTTACCAAATAAGTTCTTCCAACTTTGTAACCATGGCTTTCCTTCATGGCACCAAGTGTCAACCCAGGTTGATGTCATTGTTGATCCTTCGGAGGATGTCATCAGCTTATTGCAGCTACTGATGCCTAACAGCCATTACTGCAACAGTGCTACTGTTTTAATTCAAAATGTCAGTGTGCTATATTGACCGTGTAGTACGACCTCGTATCACATGGACGTTTTGCCTTTGAGATGAAATACTTAACTTCTTTGATATTTTTCACATTAGAACTTTTTTCAAAATTTGCTACTTTAAAAATATTTCTTGGCTATCTTGTATATTTCTAGATATATAAAATAAAATGCTGTTACGATGTTAACTAGCTGCAGAGTTGTCCCCCCTTTGGTAGGTCTTGTCCTGTCAGAACTAGTCAACTGCCAGGAATGGTGGGAGATAGTACCTATGTTCCAGGTTGTAATATAGTGTCCGCCAGATATTGTGTAAATGTACCATAGTTCTGATGCTTTTCAAGACAGCAGTATACATACATCTGCATTTTCAGACGAAAAAGTTTATAAAATATTTCAGTGTAATGATGTTACACTATATATGTGTGATTGTGACATCAGCACAATTTATATTTGTAACACATTGTGTTCCATCATCAGAATGGGTCATGAATAGCCAGTTGTCTGAAGCACGCACTACCTTCTGAAGTTGGACTAGGACCTATGACTGTGTGTTAACATCCTAGGGTATCCTGATGAACGCTTTGTCCGTGTTCATAGGTTTCACCAAAGTGGTTTACGTGTAAGACACACATCCCACTGGACTTTCCTCCAACATCAAGTTGACAAGTCATTACATGACGGAAATACTGCTCAATACTGTCAACATGTGCTGATAAAAGTTTAAAATCTCCTCGGTAAATCTCGGAGTTTTAACTTTTTTAATATACAACAATTTGAATGTGTTTCATTTCAATACACCATGTGTTAAAACTAAGATTGCTGTAAGGAGAAAACCTGGCTGGTTATTTTGTTGGTGTTTAAAATGACATCAGCTGACCAGTAATACATACTGGAGAGTGTATATTTTGAAGACCTGAACTTTCGATGTGCTTCAGAAAGTATCAGAATAATCTGAATTGCAGATTTTTAAGATGAATCTGATTGAATTGTTTACACATGTGTTGTGTATTTCAGTTGTCATCTGTCAAAGTGTATATTATTTTTTATGATGTGTATTATCATATTCCCATATTATCATTCATTGCTACAATTTTGTTTAAATGTATAGAATTGTAGTGCTTCATGACGTTCATGGTGTAATAAAACTGATAACAAATGATGTACACAGTAGCGTTGCCTTTCCTAATCCTCAGCATCAGTGACCTATTAGCTCAAGATGATGTGTTGTGCGGAGTTATGTCCCTCAGTTGTGCCAGGATCCAGTCATTATGTTTGAATCCCATGCAGTGATTATATACCGAGTCAAAAAAAGAAACTTCACATTCTTTCTTCAGGGCACTAAAAAAGAACAAGAGATGGTAAGATGGTAAAATTGTTATTATTTCATTGCTGAGATCTGTGTGATGTACTCGATACACTGACAGTGCCATAATCAGTTCCATTAGGCTACACCGCCGTTCCAAAACATGGGTATACAGAATGTCAAGTCACAAGAATAAAAATGCAAAATTTCTCAGTTCAACATCGTGTATGGCCGCCCCGCGCAGTCACAACTGCCAAACACTGTCTCCTCATCGACTGCCTGATGCTTGTGAACATGTGGTTGGGGATTCAGAGAAAAATTATTCATTATTTTTCAAATTACATTTTGTGAAGTTTCTTTTTTTGACTCAGTATATCATCTGACAATGTTGCATTACGTGGTGACTGAGGATATTACAACATACAATCATCCTTAGTCGGGATTGATCTCCTGTAACAAAGACTTGTTTGAAGACTGACAAAATGGATCATGTGGCAAGCTCCATCACTTGGTCACTACCTCTGTGGCAGTTAGCAATATGAGGATGAGATGACTGGTTCAGATGGGATGGAACATACTGTGTCACAGTGGGGGCTTCAAAATATAAAGGAAGCATGGTATCTCAGTGGGCTTGCACTATGAAACCGGCATTGACCTGGACTGGTACATTTAGACATGCTCACAAACACATCGCTCTCTCACTCACTCACTCACTAGCTCTGTTACATTGAGTGTGGGTAAAGCAACATGCATTCAGCTCACATGAGATGGTTGTTTCCTCTTCTCCTTGTCGTATCAACTGGCGCAGAGTTCTTCAGTTTTCTTCAGTCATCCTTGATCCTTCATAGTTTTAAGTGCCATACCCTTCTCTTTGAACAAAACAGATCCGGCTTAGAAGTGGTCTTCATCAACAAATGCTTGTAAGAGGCAACTAACAGGTTCTGACGGTCAGGCTCGATGACTTCACACATCGTATCCCAACTGCGTAGATCGATGCTCATGGTGTTGATCACTTGATTATCTGGTCCAGACTAAACTCACTCACTATTTATGGATCACCGCCATACAGCTGTAATACTTCAGAATGCGGCTTTAAAGTTCACAAATTGGCCGCTGTGATTCTTGCCAGCAGTAGCTGGTTCTTTTAAATGAAGGTTCATTTCATCTTAGCAATAGTTATAGGGTATGAAATTTTAGGGGGTACAAATTTGACTTAACACCTGTTACATTCACACTCCGGCCCAGTGATGACTTAGCATGGATCTCTGGGTAGGAGAGTGCTGTTACATTTTGTAAACCAAAGGGGAATAACTCTCAAGTGCTTAGTATGACCTGCTCAAAGTGTCATGGCACCTAGAGGGAAAGATGTTACTGCCTATCAGAAAAGGCTCATGTTAAGTTTGAATTCAGAAAGCAAAAGTGGAAGTGAAATAGGTAAAATAACTGGAATTAATAGGTTTACTGTCTGTAAATTTCTGAAGAGGAAATACAGAAAATTGTCAGAGAAGTGGCAGAAGAAAATCAGCTGACAGAGATACTAGGGTTTTATTGAAGATTGTTAAGTGTAACAGGAGGAAGTCTCTTCAGGATATATCTTCACTTTGGAACCAGACATCTCAAGTAAGACTATCCAGAGGACAACACAAAGGCGTCTTCACGAAAATGTTTTTATAGAAGATCGTTGTGAAGAGGAAAACACCATATCCTCTCAAAACAGGTTCAAGAGAAGAACGTTTGCCAGAACACATTTGAGATGGAATGTAAACAGAGATTAGTCTAGGGGAATATTTTCAGATGAGGCTCAAGTTGTTGTAGGAAAAGATCAGAAAGTTTATGTTTGGAGGACTAATGAAGAAAAGTGGAAACCCCGGTGCCTTGGTGTGTACAGGGATAAAAATGCCCCACGTCTCAGTGTGATGTTCTGGGGGTGTATTTGTTCTGAATGTGGTGGAACCCTTGTCAATAAGATGGTCATATCAACTCTACAAAGTATATAGATATACTGGACAGCAACCTTTGGCCAGTAATAGCCAAAGTTCCAGCATATCGGGGCTATATATTTCAAGAGGACAATTGTCCTGTCCATGTTTCTAGACAGACAATTCAGTGGAAACGTGACTATGACATTCGGACAATGAATTTGCCTCCTCAGTCCCCAGACTGTAATATCATTGAAAATGTATGGAGGACTCTGAAAATCAGGCTACAAAGACAGTTACATGAAATAAAAACCAAGCAGGATCTGATAGATCACGTTCAACGTATCTGGACATTGCAGTAAATGGCTTTATCATCCAAAACTGTGTTCCACAGGAGATATCGCTTGTGTGAGATCAAACGATATCTCCTAGGAGATATCGTTTTGACAGTAGATTTTGTACAATGCCCTAACAATGCTATGACGTCATGTACTTGATGACGTCACAATGCTATGACATCGCTGCACTGCAAGTCTAATGGCAGTACCATGTTCAAAGATGTACATTTTTCATTGAAAATTAATGAAGAGTGATTTTGGATGATAAATAGAATCTCACCCTCGTGTCTTCTGATATCAAATATATCAACACTCGTTGATAAAAGTAAAAATATCCTCGGCAAGCCTCGGATATTTGTTACTTTATCAACTCGTGGTGATATATTTGATATCAAAAGACACTTGGGTGAGATTCTCTATGTATTACTAAGTACTGAAAATATCAGGTAAGTGGCTTCAGGCATTATTTTGAAATCAAACTTTATCATCCAAAACTGTGTTCCACAGGCGATATCGCTTGTGTGAGATCAAACGATATCTCCTAGGAGATATCGTTTTGACAGTAGATTTTGTACAATGCCCTGACAATGCTATGACGTCATGTACTCGATGACGACACAATGCTATGACATCGCTACACTGCAAGTCTAATGGCAGTACCATGTACATTTTTCATTGAAAATTAATGAAGAGTGATTTGGGATGATAAACAGAATCTAGCCCTCGTGTCTTCTGATATCAAATATATCAACACTCGTTGATAAAGTAAAAATATCCTCGGCAAGCCTCGGATATTTGTAACTGTATCAACTCGTGTTGATATAATTGATATCAGAAGACACTTGGGTGAGATTCTCTATTTATTTACATCCCATCACAGTTAGCGAAAATTACATGGCTGCCATTTTGTGAACTTTAATATGGCACATGAGTGTAGCTGGAATCTGGTAAAATTGTAACCAATGTGTGTTAAGACCAACATACTTTTCAAAGCGGCGTTAAATACAACTCACTTATTCATCACCGACCGCCATCTTCACATGAAACGTCCAGTGTTGTATACAGAACCCCCGGAGTATCATCCGCGTCAACCTCGTGCCATGTATCACGCCGAAGACCCGGGTTCGATTCCCCACATGGGCACAATGTGTTCAGCCCATTTCTGGTGTTCCCCTCCGTGATATTGCTGGAATATTGCTAAAAGCGGCGTAAAACTAAACTCAGTCAGTCAGTCAGTCGTGCCATGTAACACGAGCTACGATATTCCAATATCTATTTTAAACAATGGCGATAGGCTGTTCTATTTATAATACAAATAATGTAACGCCTTCATGAAGTAGCTGGCGGTGGTGTAGCCTAGTGGTTAAAGCGTTCGCTCGTCACGTCGAGGCCCGGGTTCGATTCCCCACATGGGCACAATGTGTGAAGCCCATTTCAGGTGTCACCCGCCGTGATATTGCTGGAATATTGCTAAAAGCTGGATAAAACCCAACTCACTCACTCATGAAGTAGCCCAGGGCCCCAAAGATCTAGTAAAGTTTCTCGTAGCATTCGTACCTCCTATACTGTAACATTGACTTACGATAGCCGTAGCGCTACGAGAGCTTTGGGAAACGGGGCTCAGGATGTAAGCACTCCTGCTTGTCACACCACAGATTTCCTAACATGGTTTCAAAATGTGAAGTCTCTTTCCCGGCGATAACATAGCTAGACTGATGCTGAAACTGACTGTATCCAAACACTCTCACAGAGACCTCAACCCAAAACATGACCATCAGAGGATATGTCTCATTAGCTTGTTTGGCAGAACCGTGTTTGATGTTTGATGCCCCTGTTTTAATTTGAAACCTAATGTGCCAGATCACTTAACAATCTACGCATCCTGTTAACAAGCTAAGTAATACACACACACATATATATCTATCTACCGCCTATATCATGACCATATGAATCATCACCGGATATAACACTATATATACACACGGCGTGTTTTGCAGACAGCCTTGGTTATGTTCTGGTATATGATATAGACAATGTAATCCGCACTGTATATACTGACCGTCCTGCTCGGACAGCCGACATCGATCACGGTAGGTAATAGCTGCCTCCTGTATACACGACAATGCATCATCCTGCCTAATTCTTCCGTCTCCCTAACACACCTACCTACTTCGTAACATGATGCATGCTCGGCAAGGACACAATGAATCAAATATTAGATTTTCATCCAAATTTGAAAACAATCAGAGATAAGTGACAAATCTTTATCATACGTGATCTTTGGATGGGGTGAGTGACCGAGTGAGTGAGTATAGTTTTACGCCGCTTTTGCAATTTATCAAAAATATTACGAAGCGGAACACTAGAAATAGGTTTCGCAAATTGTATCCACGTGGGGAATAGAACCAGGATCTCCCGGGTGACGAGCAGATGCTTCAACCACAAGGCTGCTGATCGACCCCAGGTGACGAGCAGATGCTTCAACCACAAGGCTGCTGATCGACCCCAGGTGACGAGCAGATGTTTCAACCACAAGGCTGCTGATCGACCCCAGGTGACGAGCAGATGCTTCAACCACAAGGCTGCTGATCGACCCCAGGTGA